GGGATTGAAACACCTGCTGGTTTGGTCATCTACAGGGTTCTGAAAGCAATCCCTTGCAGATTCCAAAGTCACCACATATTTCAGGCTCAGAGACCTGATATAAACAAGCCTGAGTAACTTTTAAACAAGATTTATCAAATTTTATTTTGCCATGGAACCTTTTGTATCACCCATTCATCTAGGAATCAGTGTTCCTCGGAATGTAACTGGGGGAATTTTGTCGCAGAACTAGAGAGCTGGATGCTTTTGGAACCAATGCGCTTGTGTGCATGGCACTTCAAGTCCTGCTTATTCCTCTACATGGCCCAAGCTCTCTGTCAGCCACAGCTTGACATGTGCCCACTTCCCTTTGCCCACCACTTCTCCTTCCAAGACAATGGGCACTCTGCTGCCTGAATGTCCTCTGCTAAAATCCACCTCCCATATATGGGTCTTCCTCAGTTCTCCCCCTTGGTACACTCATCCCTTCCTTCAGCTCTGAACTCTGCCTCTAGCAGGCCTTGTCTCTGAAGCCACTTCCTCTGAAAGATGGGCTATTTAAGTCCTACTGTATCATAGCACATCTGTTGAGGCTACGGCTTGACAATTCTCTTGGGAACAGTGTGTCATCTTCACCTATCAAGTTTGCTCATTTAAGTCTGAAAATACCTTTGCCCTCTCCCCTGAACCTTTACAATATTCCACATGGCAACAACACTTGTTCACTTCTTCCTGAGTACAACAAGCTCTGAATAACACACCTGAAAGTTTCAACAACATCCTCCAAAGAACAATGATTCATTCATGCATGCCAGCACTACAAACTGGTTTAAAAAATCAATCATTAAATAAACAAATGTCCCCAAGTATTTCCTCTGTCCTTCCTCTCCATGCCCAGTGTCTTAGCTCTTTGGTGGAGGCCACTATTTCTTATCTATCCTTTTTAATACTTCCTGCATCTCCAATCTTCTATATGTTTGCCCAAGTGAATTTTAAGAGACCTCAAAGTGAAAACACTGTCTTGCTTATAATAATTCAACTATTCCTCATCAGTTAGGTAAAACAAGATTTCTCACACTTCAAACATTTATCACCTTTGGGGGTTTGGGCATAACCTCATGGTGCCTACTTTCTGAGAAACATGACACACTTCTTTTAACAAAAGTCACACTTTTCAATGAGTTGACCTGTTGCTAATGAATACTATGACTAGGAAATGAAAACACTGCCACATCAGATTTTGTTCTTTTCTGTTTTAAATTAATACATAACAATGAAGATCAAGACATTCGTCATGTACTCCTCAAAAGCAGCAGTTTGATATGAATGACACTGCAAAACACGGCCCTCCAGGATGGAACCCAAGCCCTCTGCAGCTAGCATTTGCTCTTCACCAGCTTTTCCATCTGGGCCACAGTACCATTTTCATTTGCAGCTTCAGCTATCCTGAACCAACTGCAGTTTTCCAGTCTGGCTTTGTTATTTTAGGGTCTGAGCTGTTTACATATATATTCTTACTACTGCATTTCTCAGAGCACCTCTTCTCAGTCTGAACATCTGTTCAGCAGTCAAAATGCTGCTTGGAATGCCTGCATCCCATATCATAGGATTGAAGTTTGAGTCCAAGTTCTGTTCCTAGTTCAAGATTCTTACTAATGTGCATCCTAGGAGGCAGCAGGTGGTGGCTCAAACATTAAATCCCTGATGTCCACATGGATTGAGTGCCAGGCTCTTGTCTTCAGCCTGGCCCAGTCCTGGCTATTGCTGATGGAAGATTCATGCTCGCTTTCTCTCTTTCTTTCACTCCCCGCACCCCCCCCCGCAAAATAAAAATTAAAACATATATCATCCTGTCTTTCCACAGGGAAAGAAGGACTTTTATTGTTGCACTGCCTTCTTGACATCACCAGAACTTTCACTCCTCTATTTTCTCCTTTGCCTTAAGCAGACATTAGATTTAGTAGGTGCTATGCTGTGGATCCTTGGAGGAAAACCAGAGGAGACTGAAATGCAGTGGATATCCTGAGTAACCCTGAGATATTTATGCTTTCTATTGTTTTTATGAATAGAATGCTTTACAACTCTTGAGAGATAAAATCGAACTTGTAGAAAAATAATAGTAATGCAAGTAATTCCTACTTATAAAAAAGTAAATTCCACTACTGTGAAACTTAATTGATTTCCCTCCCGTGACAACATGGGGGAAGCCAATTTCGCACGTGATGCATTTGTTTGGGCATTCCTGCGGTTCTGATGTGTTTATCTGGTTTAGATTTTTCTCTGAAATGATTGTAACACCTTCCTGACTCCTTTGTAAGTTAATGAGTTAAATAAAATCCTTGACACATTATTCGCCTGAGGGCACTTGAAAAAGCTTGTGCATATAAAACTAAAAGATGTCTGAAATCCACATAGACAGAGGTCTTCAAAAAGGTGCATGGAAATGCATATTGGGGGAAAAAATTGCATCCATTTCCGTTTACACCAAAATAACCATATTTTAACTCCACTTTTGAAAGAACTTTTTTAAAGTATCTTGGTGTATTTGCTGGGAGTTCAGATGTATTTTCTTTTTAAAGTACACTCTAATAGCATTTGGTACAGAGCCTGGCACAAGGAAGGCTTATTCATAATGGTGTGGATGAATACACTCAGATCAGTAAATGAAGTTTTGGTCATTAGTCAGAGCTTATGTATAGAAGAAAGAAAGGAATGGAGAACCAGTGTGACAAGTAGCCAGCTACCATTCCAAAACTGAAGCTGAAATGAGAAACTTGTGCTACTCCCCTGGGAGATGTTGGCAAGAGTGGGCTCCAGGAATTGTGTGTCCAGACTGGCCACAACAGAGACTGAGTCAGAGAGGTCACTGAGGGCGCTGGCCATGGCATAAAGGAAGGAAGACAATGAGCAGCGTTGAGGCCACCGGGCTCCCGTTTCCTCCCCTTCCTTGCACACCCATCCCAGGACTTGCAGGTTCTGTCCTGCACTGGGTCTTTCAAAACTTGCCCAGTTATGAAATCAGATACTGCTCTGGCATTTTCACTTGTAGTACCATCTACAGTGAAATTGTGTAAAGGGAAAAAACCCCCTATGAGTCAGTTTCCACATCTATGAGTGTTTTGAAGATTACATCAGTGGAGTTCCATAGAATGAAACCGCGAACTTCCTGCAGAATTGTCTGGATTCACAACAATCTCTATCTGCTTCAACTAACAGGGAGGCCTTCCGAGGGCACTGTCCGGGCTGTGTATGAGCTCTCAAGAGCCGGGTCTCTACCCTCAAGTTGTTGCCTAGCTTTACATAAGCATAGTGATTGATATAGAAAAGGAAGCTTAGTTACTATTTATTATGTAGTTTCCAAAATTAACATGGAAATTTTCAAAGTACTAATTTTTGCTACCCCTACTTCTCCCAGATAGTGTATGGTATTATCAGGTTCTAATATCTTCTTTAAAAAAAAAATATTTGGGGCCCAGTGCAGTGGCCTAGTGGCTAAAGTCCTCGCCTTGAACACGCCAGAATCCCATATGCGCACCGGTTCTAATCCCGGCAGCTCCACTTCCCATCCAGCTCCCTGCTTGTGGTCTGGGAAAGCAGTCGAGGACAGCCCAAAGCCTTGGGTTCCTGCCCCATATGGGAGACCTGGAGGAGATTCCAGGCTCCTGGCTTCGGATCAGCGCAGCACCAGCCATTGCGGTCACTTGGGGAGTGAATCTTCAGAAATGTCATGTGTAAGTGCCCTCAGGCATCTGAGCAGGGGACCCACATTCAGGTGTGCCACCTGGGTGGCAGGAGCACGACAAGCACAGCCATCACGTGCTGCCTTGCAGGATGTGCAGTATCCGCTGGATCTGGCAGTGCAACCCAGAACTGAATGCAGATACTGCAGTGTGGGACGTGGCCGGGCTAAATGCCCACTTGCGTTAGTCCCCAAGGCAACAGAATTTCCTATGACAATAATTTGGGCACTCCACTACATTTTAGCAAGGTAGTGACGTTACCATGTTCCAGCACAGGCAGTCACTAAGCTGTTCAGAGTTCAGAAAGCAATCTAACTGCGAAGAGCAGGGCCTTTGGATCCAGCAACACCTGTTGGATTCTAGTTCCACGACTTCACATAATTACTGAATTTCTTTGCCACATCCTTAGAATGGGGCTGGGAATATGGTTTCTGCAGTCAAGGGGAGGACTTTAGCTGCTATGCCACCGCGTAGGGCCCTCTCTTACCCTTTCACCTCACCTCCATCCCTAAGGATAGAGCTGCTTTAAGGCTCCAGAAAGTGGCCCAGGAAGTGTCTAGTCATACCTGCTAAATTACTTGCTTTTTGTCCCATTTCAATGGGATAATGCCTTGGAGGCCGCTAAGGTAGGGAGAAGAGTACCTAAGGTCTTTTATTCTGGATCTTTCCAAGGAAAGGCAACCTTTAAAAGTGTTGGCTTTGATTATGAAAACTGCGGGTGGGAAAAAAATCTCTTCAGTCAGAAATATACCACAGCTCGGGTTTTAAAAATCAATGTGTAAGCCTCCGCAGCGATTTCGACCAATTTCAAGTCAAGATCCTCAGCCTGCTTACTTCCCCTTTTCAATGCCATACACATCGAAGCCGTGGCACTTAAAACGAGGAAGCGCCCCTGAGGTTGCCCAACGCTGGGCTGGGGGCGCCGCCGGGCACACGCGAGCCCCCGAGTCCGCGGAGCTCGGCGACGGCGGCGGCCGGGCGAGCGCTCCCCTCGCTGCGTGAGGCAAGCCTCCTCCCACGGCCGCGGGAAGCCCCGACGCCGCAGGCTTCCGAGCCAGGGCCAGGGGCAGAGCCGCCGGGGCGCAGTTCCTGCACCGCTTCCTCCTCGAGCCGCGGCCCCGGGTCCCTTCCTGCTCCGCGGCGTTCGAAGCTCGCGCGGCCGCGGCTCCGGAGGCGGCGGGGGTGGCGCGCGCGGCCGCACGCACGCGCGGTGGGCGCGCCGCCCCCGCAGGCCCCGCCCCTCGGCGCGGCTCCCCAGGCTCCCCGGGCCGACTCGCCTCAGCGGGCCGGGGGACAGAGCTTCCTCCTCCGGGCGCGGGTGCAGCGCCGCCCCGCAGGTCCTTCCGCTCCCTGCCTCCGCGGTCCGGAGGCCAGCGGAAGGTTCGCGGAGAGCCAGGTCCCGCGACGCGGTCGCCGGCGAGGGCCATGTCGCTGTGGGGGGAGCCGCTACAGGCCCCGCCGCCCCCGGCCTCGCAGCCGCCTCTCGGCGCGCCCTCGGGGCCGCCGTTCGCCCCTCTGGCCGGCGCGACCCTGAACCGCCTGCGGGAGCCTCTGCTGAGGAGGCTCAGCGAGAGCTTGGACAGGGCGCCCGAGGGCCGGGGCTGGAGGAGGCTGGCCGAGGTGGCGGGCAGTCGGGGGCGCCTCCGGCTCAGGTGAGCCCCGGGGCGGGCACGGGGTGGAGGGGTGCGCGCCGTGGGGTGAGCCGCGGCTCGGGGGCCGCGGGCGGGGACTGAGAGGGCAGAGGCGTCGGTCCGCTTCAGGGGAAGCCGGGATCGGGACCTACCTGCCACCCCCTCGGCACGGGCTTGGGGAGGGATAAAGAAAAGGCCCCGGGGCGAGGCTCTCTGAAGGAGCGAAGTGGAGGTTGGCCGCGGAGGGTGTGGACGAGGGGGACTGGTGGCCGCAGGCCCCAGGGTTGGGGCGACGAGTCCCGCACTTATGCAGGGAAAGTCGAGATGCACGCAGCGCTCAAGACTGCGGGAAAGGGGCCATGCAGGGACAGGGAAGAATCAGGGTGCAGCCTCCACGCAGGGCTTTATGCAAAGAGAAGGAAGCGGGGCAAGACTGAGACCTGCTTTCTTCCTGCACCAAACCAAGTCACAGAGTTCTCCGCTTGACTGCAGCGGGAGCTTGGAACTCGCAGACTATGCCTTAGCAGGCCTGGAAGTGCCCGTTAGCCACCCTGGAAGGTTGGGGTTCCTTCGGCTTTAAGAATGAACTGAGAAGCCGGGAGAGCGCTTATGTGTGGGTATACATATATCACATGCATGTGTTATATACTGATCTTTGCTGTATTGGAATTTGGAAACCGAGATGTCTTCAAAGTAGAAAATAGCCAATTACCATGAAGCAGAAACTATGTTTTTGGGTTTAAAAAAAGAAACCGAACTTGTCCAAAACAGTTCATTAGAAAATTTGCATTTGTTTGCATTTTTAAAATCCCTTTAATGTCTTAGCCCCAAGACCTGGCTGCTTTTAAGTGCTGCTGCGTCCAGTTGCAGTCACACGTGTGGGGAATCCTGGGCTCTCTAGCACGCAGCGCTGAGACAATGAGTGCAGAGGGTAAATGAGGTCTCAGAAATGACTATAAAAATCATTTTGACCTCGTGAATCTACTGGAAGTGTACTGAGGAATCCCAGACCACCTCTGCGTACCAGTGTTAGGGTTCCCTTCTTCCTTTTAAACCCCTTAGTCCTGTGTCTGTACCCCTGAGGTGATGAGACTGTTGCATCGTAGTTTATTGGACACGTGTCTGAACTCCTTAAGAGTGAGGGCCCATCCCTTGATATCCTGTTGGATGGATTAAACCTCACAGACGGTAAACGCTTGCTGAATGGAGCCTGGAGTTGGTTCATTCAGGCTTGTGTGTGCTGTATTCGTTAACTGTAAGTTCCAGAAGATAAAACAAAATTAACACATCTTAGTTCCCATTCATCATGTCTTAAGAATGGACTGCTATTTAGGGACAATTACAAATAGCATACTAAGCATTGTACTAGAAGTAACTCAAAATAATGTGTTTTTACGCTTTATACAGCACACAGTGTATACCAGACAGTGAACTGATTGTTTGCTTGGGTCATCCAGCTGAGCCCTCCAGCAGCCCTGAGTTTTAGTCGTTGAGGCTGAGGAAGACAATAATGATGTAGGCCACTGTGGCCCATACAGAGTGATGTGAAGAGGGGATCAAGAAGTGAGAAGTTAGCAACATCAGGGGGACAGGTGGCCTCATTTTCCTCTGGTCTAAGAAAAACACATTCGACCATAGCTATGGAAAGAAAATCCAAAATACTATTACTCTAGGTCTGTAGATTTCTGAATTTCTGTCATTCATCACTGTAATGTGAAAACTTGCCTTCTCTGGAGACGGATCTCCAAGGTATCATGTTGTCGACTGGTGTGAGGGCAGGCTTGGGGTTTCTGAAGAGAGCCTGGCCTTGTGTATCTGGCAACGGGGCAGAGAAAAGGAAGTCAGGAGTCCTGCCAGGGAAGGAGTATGGCTGATGGAACCCACAAGTTGTGGGTAATGTGGCGTCGTATGTTCTGTTCTCCCCAGGCCTTCAGTCAGATTTTGTCTGGCCTTGTTTAGGAGAACATGAAGACATGAGTGAGGCTGCTGTGCTGGAGAGAAGGGCAGGTGCCAGGCAAGAGGTTGACCAGCCCGTGGGCATGCGTTTGTGGAGTCTGACACTGTCAGAGACAGATGCATGTTACCTGCATTCCAGGGCCGTGGAGGCTGCTACCAAGTTAGTTGGTTGGGGTGGAGAGGATAGCAGAGTTTGAGTACAGTAAGCTTGGACCTGTTGAGAGCAGAAGACTTTAAGAAGGTAATGCTGGGGGCTTGGGAACTAGACAGAGCAACAGAGGAGTCGGGTGTCAGCTAGTGACTTGTATTTGAGGCAAATGTTGCGTTAATGTGATAGTGTAACAACTGGGAGAAGGAGATCTGTGATGGTAGGAAGGTAGGAAATCAAAGAGCTGTTTTTCTCTTGAGTGTGGAACAGAAATTTTTGTGTGGGAGTCTAGTCCAAGTGACTAGCAAATCCCCGTGGAGGTGAAATACTCCACAGAGCTGCTGGATTCAGAAGCATAAATTCTCAAATGTTGTGTCTTCGGGTTTTTTTTTTTTCTTTTCTTTTAGCTTTTTTATTTTCTGACTTCTTACAACTTTCTGCAAACTAGATGAGTATTGAATAAGTAAATAAACCATAAGAAAAGAGTTTATTTAGAATTATCCACCAGAGATGGGGATTCAGAATAGATCTTTTTACGGTTTATTTCCCCACACCATGTGCAGGTGTAAGAACACCCTCCCATGTCCTCCCAGCCCTTGTTCCCTTCCATACTGAGGTTATTCCAGGCACCTTTTGCTGTCAAAGAATACAGGCACAGACTCAAAATGCCTTGCCCAACTTGTGTAAGGGCTGGAACATCTGCCCCCTGGGATGGCAGAGCTTCTGGAAACCCAAAAAATGCCTGAATTCCACCAGGCAGAGAATTCCGCAAGGGGGCTGTGGCTGGTGGGCTCAGGCAAAGCCCTCAGCCTGCACTGTTGAAGGAGCTGTTTTAGTGTGGAACCCAGCCTTGCAGGGTGTATAAAGTCTAACCAGGCCACCTCCTCCTCAGCTCTGTCTCCTCACCTTAGAGTTTTGGAATGCCCCAGCGCTGAGGCGTGATGACTGTTTTTCCAGGCTTCTTTACCTAGACCACTTCTTGGAGTTATCTTTCAGTCTCATGGCTTTACTGGTCAAATTCGCGCAATGTCTGCAGTCTGAACTCTGAGATTTGTAACCGTGGATTCTTGGCCATCTGCTCCTGACTGACTAGCAGGCATCTTCGTGGAGATCTCCCTTAACCTCCACTGTCAGGGTTTGGGTAACTATCGCCTAGGATTGCTGAGACTTTGTTCTTTCAAGTACTTTCTGCTGCAGTGGCCAGCAACTTTTTTCTTTATGACCCCGCTTTTATACGCCATGTCATTTTTGCCAGCATCTCCCACCTGCTGACATGACTTGACTGTATAGCTAGAATCTACCATGCACTGCTCATACTGGGCCAGATCACTTCGATATTCCAGTAACCACGTCTTCATGCTTTGTATTGTCCCCCACCCCCAGCCTGCTGTCAAAATTGCAGTGAGAATGGTTAATTAAACTGTCTCTCCTCTGCTCATAACCCCCGTTGCTTCTCCATCTCAGAGTGGAAAACATCATTCAGTTTCCAGTTAGCTCTTGGGCCTGGTATTCCGTCATCATCATCTCCATCCCCTTGTATTCCAGGCATACTTCCTCTCTCGAACACAGTGGGATCTTAGACTTGCAGATTACTGAGGGTTGAGTGGGCTCCAGAGGTGACTGCTCTGTTTGCTCCATTACCTTTTCAAGTATTTGCTCTGAAGTTTTATTTCTGTTTTTCTATCCTTGTTTCTGTCCATGCCTGTGCATACCTGCATTACTGTTCATGAAAAAATGGAGGAAACCCAGGACTTTGTGCCCACACCTGGATGAAAGGATGCCAAGTCTGAGATCAAGAGAAATAAGGATAATGTGAAGTTTAAAGTTTAGTGCCCATACATTGGTCATCACAGAGAGAAGGCAGAGAAACTAAAGCAGTCCCTGCCACAAGTCCTGGCAGTGAAGGAGTTGAAATAAACTAAAATAATAATAATTATTATATATTTTTAAAAGTCATCTTTATGAGGACTTTTCTAATCATAACATTTAAAATTACCAGGTCAGCTATGTGGCACCGCATATTAAGCTGCCGGTTGGGAAGACCAGATAGCTGAGTGCCCATGTTGGAGTTGTACTTCTGCTGCTGATCTAGCTTCCTGCGTATGTACCTGACAGGCAGCAGATGGTAGCCTAAGTACTGGGGAAACTTCAGCCTGGCCTAGCCCTGGTTGGTTCTAACCATTCTGACAGATGAACGCTCATTCGGTGTCTCTCCATGTTTCTGCCTTTCAAAAACAAAATCTTAAAAAAAAGCAGTACTCCTGTATCTGCCTGCCGTTGTCCCTGCCCTGCTTACTTCAGCTCTCACCAGGGTACTTAGGACATTGAGGAGATGGAGCCTACACAGCTAATTTGTGTGTCTCTAGGTTGAAACGGCCAAAAGAATGGGCATGTAGTGGTTGCAGGGTATATGGTAGCTTCTGTTTGATTATGTATTTCTGAAAGTAAAGATGAAAGTAGGTATTTTTTTTTTAGAAGCAAAGTGTGTTTGTTTCAGTAATTAAAGAAATATTTTTAATTAAATCACAAATTCCGACGTAGGACTCATAGAAACCACCTCAAAGCGTGCTCTTACAGGAGTGGAACTTAAAAAGGAAAGAAAGAAAAATTGGGTATGTGTAAGCATCATCTTACAAAAGCCAGTGCCCATGTGGAAAATCAGTAAAATGAAAGAGAATTTGTTTTTCTTTGTGCCTCTGTATTGGAAAAGAAGTCGTCTACTTCAGTTTAATCTTTGTTGAAGAAAAAAGGCGAGATTGTTTTTGATTTTTCTCTGTATCAAGATAAGCATTAAAACATCGCATGATTTCATGTGGTGAGGTGGCTTCTTAATTCCGTGTGTCAGATGCTGGTAAACTTCTGAATCATAAAAGATTATATTTAGCACTCAGCATCCTTATTTTTATAAACCTCATAATTATTTGAAAAGTTAGTAATCTTTTTTCTTGGCCACACCTTCAAGTAGGTGGCACAAGAATTGCCTAGCCGTTTCCTGGTTGAGAGACCACTGGTGGGGAATGTCTTTGCTGCAGTCTCCCGCCCAGGCAAGGAGGGGTCAGGGAATGCTTAAAATCCCAAGACCCTTTAGAAAGCCTTTGGTGTCTCTCCCGCTCTCCTTTCAAGAGGCTCTCCACGTTCACCAGGTCACTTTGAAAATAAAACTTCTCTGTTTCCCGGCCTTTTATTTCTATATTAAGCTGAGGAAAGAACCTACTGAGCTTTTTTGCTAGTATTTATATTGTTTCTGATAGCTTCCTTGACTTGAACAGTTCAGGGATTGAAGAATTTTGCCAATTGGGAGCACCACGGGCATGTACAGCCTTTTGTTTTTATTGCCATCGTAGTCACCGTGATTTCACGAAAGGATGCTTTAACATTTAGAACTAGGAAGCGCAATTGCAGAGTAAAAGGCAGTCTTACTCTCCTTTTAATCATCTTGCCATGCACCAGAGATAGTCTTCCCACTGGTCTAGCCCAGAATTTGGGATTGGCTAATACCGAAGATGGTGATTTGTATCAGATGAGAATAGCAGATTGAATATTAGGTAAATTTGAATACTTGGAATACCTAGCAGGTATAAGTCATCACAGAAGGACTTGGAGGACCTTTTCCAGTTCCTCACAAAAAAATATTTAAGGAAAAGTAAAAATATTTTCAGAAATAAGTATGGTTAATGCTCTTTTAGTAGCCCCCTGTTTGCTTGAATAGTTAGAGCTAATCTAGTGTTTTTCCCTTGCCAGGTACTTCTTACATGGATTATCTGATTGACTAATTATAACCCCATGAGGCTAATAACATTACTGTTGAGATTATTTCAGCTGGATACATTTTTCTCTAAGTGATAATCCATGTTATCCCCGAATTGTGATTCTTGGGTGACAATATAAATGTCATGCAAGCATTTTAACAAAATGGATCAAAAAGAAGTAAGGAAGATTAAGAATATTTCAAATGAGCAGGCCTTGTGGCACAGTGGTTAAGAAACTGGTTGCCTGCATCCCAAATCCAAAGGCCCGAGTTCAGCTTCTGACTTTGCTTTTGATTCCTGCACGTTTGGGGAGGCAGTGGATGGTGCATCAAGCACTTGGTGAACCTGCCAACCATGGAGGCGTGCAGGTTGAGTTCCTGTCTCCAAACATGGGCCTGACCAACCCTGACTGCTGAGAGGAATTTGGACAGTGAGTCACAGATGGAACATTTTTCTTTCTCCCCTTTCTCAAATCAGATGAAAATAAACCAGTAAAAAAAAAAAAATGTGTTAAAATCACCTCGTTTAACAAAAAGTGGAAGACTGTTTTTTAAGTAATAGCAAATCTTACTACTGACCTTGATACTGCCGCGGTTGTTCACACTGCTTTGTTTGACCGCTTCTCCCGACAAGATTTGCAGCCTTCCCAGTTATGATTGAAATTCATTTAGCAATCTTTCAGTTGTGAGTGATTAATATGGGCATGCTAGAGTTTCTGTTTTCAGGGAGTTTACTGTAACCTGTTTGAATAAAAGCATGCTCATGCGGAAAAGCTCACAGTTACAAGGCAGAATTATGTCAGACAAAGAACAGGGACCTGCAGAAAATTGCTCATGGGCTAGGCACAGACTGGTGCCTGTTCTGTACAATCTATAAACTGACTGATTTCTGTATTTTAAAAATAGCAAAAGACAGTATGTTACAGAGACAGACTAGTCCTCATACCTAAAATAGGTTCTTGCCAGCCCTTTACAGGAACAGTCCCTGGTCTGCCAAATAAGCCCGCTAAGGAGGCTGAGTGCGTGTGCGTACTGGGCTGGTGAGGTTTGTGAGGACCTCAGAAAGAAGGCAGTTGATTTGGGGTTGTGATTCAGATTGGCAAAGGAGGGGGCAATGTTTGCGAGGTGAATGCATTGTCCTATATAGAATGTCACATAGATGACCTTAAACCCATTGGTCATTGTTTTTGGTTGTTTCATTGTGAAGGGTGTTTGTGTGTTTTAATTGGTGATTCCTGCTTTGTTCCTTTTTTCCTCTCCTTGAATATTTCATATTTGTACTTCTTCCCCCTTCTATAAAATAACTGAAGTGTGTATCGTATCCCATTATTTGTAACCTCCCACAATTTGGCCTTAATTCTGCTTTTGATTGTGTATACTTTTATTGAACATCATATCATAGAAAAGGAAATTGTATGTGTATGTTAAATACTGATTTTTTTATGAATAGTTTTAGGGGGTGCCCAGCATAGTAGCTAAAGTCCTCCACAAGCTGGGATCCCTTGTGGTCACAGGTTCATGTCCCAGCTGCTCCATTTCCCATTCTGCTCTCTGCTTGTGGCCTGGAAAAGCAAAAGATGACCCAAAGCCTTGGACTCCTGTACCCCCTTGAGACCTGGAAGGAGCTCCTGGCTCCTGGTTTCAGATTGGCTCGGCTCTGGCTGTTGTGGCCACTTGAGGAGTGAACCAGAAGATGGAAGATCTCTCTGTCTCTCCTCTCTGTAAATCTGACTTTCCAATAATTTTTAAAAATGAAGAAATTAAACTCTTTCAAATAAAAATAAATAACTACTTAAAAAGTAATAGTTTTAGAGACCAGCATTGTGGCACAGTGGGTTGAGCATCCACCGCCAGTGCCAGCATCCCATATCAGCACAGTTCTGGTCCAACTCACTCACTGTTGGTACACCTGGGAAAGCAGTGGAGCCTGCTACCCATGTGGGAGACCTAGATGGAATTCCTGGCTCTTGGCTTCCACATGACCCAGCGAACCAGTGGATTAAAGATCTCTTTCTTCTCTCTCCCTCTCTCTCTGTAACTTTGCCTTTCACATAAATAAATAAAACCTTAAAAAGGAACAATTTTCATAAAAAATAGTAACACAATGTAAGGATTCTTTAGTGAAGGAATTATCTAATGATCTTGTGAAGGACCAAATGGTAAATGTTTTGTCTTTGCAGGCCAACTGTTCAGCTCTTGTTTTAGAGCAGAAAAGCAGCTATAGGCAAAGGTAAATGTGTAAATAAATGAGCATAGCTGTGTTCCAATCAACTGTTGCAAAAAGCAGTGGTTGGACACATTTAGCCGCAGTTCATAGCTGGCCTATCTCTACAGTAGGGTTTTCTAGGCACTGGAGATGTCAGTAGTGTTGATTCTCTTTTTAAACATACTTTCAAACAATATTGAAAAGGAATACACATGGTAAAAGGAAAATTTAATAGTACAAAGGAGTTAATAGAGAAAGGGAAATCTAGCCATGAACTCTATTCCTAGTCTTGGTTCCCCTCTCTGGAGGAACACCTGCTACAAGTTACCTTTTCTAAGTTACTCTGTATCTATAAACATGCACTCAGTAGTTGATAATTAAGATAGTGGCATCTAAGACATACATATAGTTCCATATTTTTTATAAATACAATTACCTGATTAATAAAAATGATATACATTTTTCAGTATGTTTCAAAAGATCTATACTTTTGGCTCCTTTTTCTTTTGTTTAGAAAAGAATGAGTAGCATATTTCATTTCATGTACATACTATAAATTGATCAACTAGGAAGCCAGGAACCAGGGGCCTCTTCTGGGTCGCCTTCTTCCACGTAGGTACAGGATCTTAAGGACTTGGGCCATTTCACTCTGCCTTCTCAGGCTGTAAGCAGGGGAGTAGAGCAGCCAGGACACAAACGAGCACCCTATGGCTTGCCTGCACTAATAGGTGGAGGATTAGCCGGTTTAGCACAGCACTGGCCCTGCTTCATCTTTTTTTTTTTTTTTTTTTCTGATCTTCCAGTTCCCATTCCTTAACACTTTGGAAGCTATCAAGACTGAATTTCTGTCACAAGCTGTTTGCGGGCCTCTGTCTCGTTCTCCTGATTTACTAATACGTGGAGTAGAGTGAGGGGAGGGCATGTAGAAGAATCCCTTGGGTGATGGAGAAGGAGGCGGCGGGCACACCAACATTCATTGTCAGTGCTTTCCGCTCACCAACTTGTGGTCATTTCCTGGGGTACCCACACCGTTCCAGATGGACAGCAGGTATATCATATTAAGGCAAGTTCTCTGTTTTCAGTTGTCTGGACCTGGAGCAGTGTTCGCTTAAGGTGTTGGAGCCTGAAGGAAGCCCGAGCCTGTGTTTACTGAAGTTAATGGGTGAGAAAGGTTGTACAGTCACAGACCTGAGTGACTTCCTGCAGGCCATGGAGCACACTGAAGTCCTCCAGCTCCTCAGCCCTCCAGGTGGGTCTTGCCTTCAGGGATTTTCTCCAGGAGTCTTGCCGTCATGCTGTGTAACACATGAACTTTGGATTGTGGTTCAAAAGCTCAGCTATGGGAGATATTTGTAAAATAATAGGAAAAATTTTTACATAGCCTACATATTTGATAATAGAGAATTATGTGGCAATGATATTGTAGTTCTGTACATAAATGCTGTTTGATAAAAAAAAAGGTTTCTTTATTTATTTTATTAGATAGGTAGATTTACAGAGAGGAGAGACAGAGAGAAAAAGATCTTCTATCCTCTGGTTCACTCCCCAAATGGCTGCAACTGCCAGAGCTGAGCCGATCCAAAGTCAGCAGCCAGGAGCTAGGAGCCAGGAGCTTCTTCCAGGTCTCTCAGGCGGGTGCAGAATCCCAAGACTTTGGGCCATTCTGTGCTACTTTCCCAGGCCATAAACAAAGAGCTGGATGAGAAGTGGAGTAGCCAGGACATGAACCCATGCCTATAAAAGATGCTGGCACTTTCAGATGGAAAATTAGCCTTTTGAGCCATTGTAACAGTCCCCATGAATGTTCTTTCTTCCAAGAGATCCATGCAATTTAAAGGTAACATTTTTTTTCTAACATACATTGAAATAGTGCATCCAAAAAGTAGACATTTATTTTTCTGTGTAGTGTGTATATGGGTGAAGTAAAGCAAGGCTAACAGGTGTTTGCTGTCTAAGTTTTATGGCAACGTGATGTGCTTCTGAAATGTAGATTATCTCAACCATGCACGTTTTCCTGAATAGACCAATACTGAGTAAGGCTCCTCGCTCATAACATATGTGTAGTCGTGTGCTGTCCGTTGCATGTATCAGCAACTCCAACACAAATTGTTGTAATGACAGGAATACATTTTTGAGAAGCCTAGACGTGGATTAGGGTTCATGAGAGGCTGGGAACTAGCCTGTTACTGAGGATTTGGTTTGCTTTTTGTCTCTGCCCTTCCTGCTCTGACTTCCTGCTGAGACAGAGTCTCCACTTAGGCCAGCTTGCTTGTAGGCTCTTGCTGAGTTCATTTATCTTTATCCCAGCATTCCTAGCAAAAATTAGAAGGTTTGGGCCTGGCATGGTAGCCTAGTGGCTTAAGTCTTTGCCTTGCACACACCAGGATCCCATATGGGCCACAGTTCATGTCCCAGCTGCTCCACTTCCCATCCAGCTCCCTGCTTCTGGCCTGGGAAAGCAGAAGAGCACAGCCCAGTGCTTTGGGACCCTGCACCCTCATGGGAGACATGATAGAAGCTCCTGGCTCCTGATTTCAGATTGGATTGGCTCCGGCCATTGCGGCCACTTGGAGAGTGAACCAGCAGATAGAAGATCTTTATCTCTGTCTCTCCTTCTCTCTGTAAACCTGGCTTTGTAATAATAATAATAATAATAATAATAATAAATCTTTTTAAAAACATTCTCTTTTTTGATAAAAACAATAATGAAGCACTTCAACTGCTGGTTGCCAGGTCTATAAAGTTAGCATAGTAATCCTCTATTGGCAGTGTTAGGAACCTCTGAGGTTTTGTGGTGTGAACACTGAGCTGAGACCTAGAGCTCCCAGCTTTTACGGCTTCCTGCATATGAAACTGGGCTAGAGTGAAATTGAGTTAGGTCATTGCTTATAATATCTTGCCTGCAATTCTGAGGCAGAATTTTACTTTTTTTACTTTTTTTTTTCAAAATTGTTTGCATAATTGAGAGGAATACATGCCCATGTGGGCCTCTGATTAGGGTGGGGAAGGGGTATGGAGGAAGGTGGATGAGACACATACCCAAGTCTTTGGTTTGTTTGTTCTGCGTCTTCAAGGGAGAAGGGGGAGAGAAGCCACTCCTTGCTGTCAAACCACCTTATCACCCAGAGATGGGAGACAGTTCTTGGCTGACACCCTGGAAACCCTGATGTGGGGAAGAGTATTCCAAGGGTGTTACTTGAATGTTTTTGATAGTTCTGAGACAATGTTGGTTTCTTTGTTCCAGAGTTAAGAAAATCTTTCCAAGGTCTACTGTTTGACAAAGTCCACCTTCGTGTATCCACAGACCCAGGACCATGCTGCAATCTTGGCCAGGAAAATTGTCTGACCCATTTTGCTTTCCAACCCCTGACAAGGCAGTTGACATCCCCTGCTGGCCTAGATGAGCTGACCATTGTGTCTCCCGTGTGTAACTGGACATGCTGTCTACTCCACAGTCATCAGCAACTCAGCAGGCCCAGTCTTGATACATGCACTCCAAGGCTAGTCTAGGCATCCTGTGGTTTTCCCTGTGGCCAGGGTCTGAGTCCAGCGATCCAGACATGGAGTCCCCCAAGAAACCTCACCTGGGATGACTTCATGCTTGGCTTATGTGTGCCAGCCAGTTCAGGATCAGGTGTGGTTTGTCACCTGCACCAGCCAACACATATACTAGTTGGTGCAGCTGCATGGTCAGTTCTGTCTCAGCCTCATAGAAGATAGCATTTTGTGTATCTTGGTCTTTGACAAGGCAGCAACTAATAAAGTACAGTCAGTTACCTTTTGTTGAACTACGCTCTTGTGCTGCTCTGTTTCTCTCCTATTGTCAGATTAACACCTTCCTATCAGTACATAGAAGGTTCTGACAGTTGCTCTGTTGCTTTTTTCAAGATGATTCCAAGGAACTCTTTGCTTTGAGGGCAGAACAGAGGACAGGTTATTCCTGTCGTGCCATGTCCATACTGTTGCATTAGGGTTGTCATATTGGCTGTCCTCACATAGTGTCCATTGTTTCTTTAGTGTTAATTGTTGAAGTAAGAGTAAGGATTTTGAGATCCAGTGAAGTTCAATAATGTAAGAATTAATCTGGATAAAAACTATAATAGTTATATTATGAATGTAAGCCCTGATAAAATAACTCAATCTGGGATTTTGCTTATTTATAATGTATAATGGTTTAGGGGTGTGTGTGTGTGTGTGTGTGTGTGTGTACACTCTGAAAGTGCAGTCCTCATTTCTATCATACCCAATCAGATTCTCCCAGGCTTATAGGAAATCAAGGGAGATCAGGAATGAGTTCATTTTGAGATCACTCTAATGCTTCCTAATTTTAAGCCAGTTTTGCCAAACTCCTATGTCTTTTAGACCTTTGCTTGTTCCATCTTGTTACTGTTGTCATTATTTTTCTCTTCTTGCACCTAAACTTGGAAAGTCAGATTCTCTATATTAAATTTATGTTCTAAGGCTGGCTTGGCAGAAGAGTGGAACAGTTGGGTCATTAATACATAGTACTGAGGGTTTGTTGGCTTGAGCTGTGCTTCTCATCCCGTTTCTATCACAGAACTCATAAAAATTTTGAACTTCATCCTTGCTGAGCTCACTTGGCCTCAGCACAAAGGATTAATGGATGAATTTAAAACCTTTCCCTTGACAAGTTTAAAATTCTTCTTTTTTTTTTTCTTTGAAACTATGTTTGCTAAAAGTTTTCTAGGATTTCTCTAGACCCCAACTATACTAAACGCATGCTAAATGTTTACTGATTTTGATGCTATTTTTATCTGATATCTTTCTTATTTGAATTTCACATATGTATTTCACATTATATACTTTTTTCTTAAGAAACCTTAATACCTGTAATACATAAAGATTATTGAATTATTTAACCATTTTCTCAATTTATTTTGTTTTTTTTCCCCCCTTTGGGTAAGTGAATTGTAGAGGAAAAAGGCACTATTATGAAATCATATTCAAGATAGATGGGAAAGAAAATAAAAGCAGGTAAAGAAGGGTTTTTTTTTTTCTCTCTCTCTCTCTGAAGGTTTGTGTCTTTATTTGAAAGGCAATTACAAAGAGAAAGATCTTCTATTCATTGGCTAACTCCCCAAATGACTGTATGTGCTGTACCTCAGTGCTGGTCCTGGTTTGTTTTAAAGATTTATTTATTGTTATTGGAGAGGCAGATTTACAGAGAGAGGGAGAAACAGAAAGATCTTCCATCCACTGCTTCACTCCCCAAATGGGCACAACTGCAGTGGCCAGAGCTAAGCCAGTCAGAAATCAGGACCCAGGAGCTGCTTCCGGGTCTCCCATGTGTGTGCAGGGTCCCAAGGCTTTGGGCCATCCTCCACTACTTTTCCAGGTCACAGGCGTGGAGCTGGATGGGAAGCAGGGCAGTTGAACACCAGCCGGTGCTTGGAGGTGAGAATTAAGTTGAGCCATCATAACGAGCCCAGTGCAGAAGCTTTAACAACCTTTTCTTCTTCTTCCCTGAAAGCCAGCTAGCCCGAGTATTATGGACTTCAGCAAATGTGAAATGTACTTTTTCTCTTTTCTCTTTTTCTCTTTGTGGTCATCTGTCATTCTGTAATAGATTACCCCAATGCCAAAAACTGGAAGCAACCTTTTTTTTTTTTTGAGGGATCTGAGGAAAGGGATCCAGTGATAGCTTAGTTGGGTAGTTCCAATTAAGTGTCTCATGAAATGGCAGTTAAGCTGCAGGTTGGGGCATAGTCATCTGAATGCTGTTTGGGATCGGGAACTCTGCGTCCCAGACATCTCGCACTGTGGCTGCTGTCAGGAGGTCATGCTTTTGCACCCACCACTGGCCTGCTTTTCTTTCCTTTCCACATGGGTGCCTCCACTTGGCTGCCTGGCTGTCATGACTTGGCAGTGTGCTTCCCCAGGGTGCGTGATAGGAGAGTGGAAGTCCCACTATTGTAGAATTTTCTTCCAAACTTTCCATCAAAAATTTTTCCCAATTTTGACACTGGTAGTCATTCCTTAAATGAGAAATGCCTGTATCATAAGTATGAAATTCATATCCTGCTGCTCTATTTTCACCTTTCTGCTTTCAAAATGGTCTTCATTTCAATGCTGTCATTGTGTAATCTTTTGAAGACATTTTCAATGGCATTGTCATGGTCTGTGTCATACTGCTGTAACAAAACACCACAAACTGGGTGATTTATAAAGGAAAAAAATTGAAAATCCAAAATTAGAATATGCTCACATGGTGCCAGGCAGAAGGGCAAGCAGGGCGAATGATATGTCTTTACTTGGCAAAACAGAGAGCAGTGTTAACCCACAAACCTACACATCTCCATTAGACCCTCTCCCCCAACACCATGCAACTGAGGATTGAGCTCCCAGTGTGTGAGTCTGGGCAGTCACATCCAGACCACACTGTCTGTGTGAGTGTGTATGACTAAGTACTAGCATGAGCTAGCATTGACAACTAGGTTACATCCACGACGTGGTGGGGATAATTTTATAAGGTATATGCTGCTCCTCAAATCCAAATTAGAACATTGGACAAAAGTTTCTGAGAATTGAAGAAATAGGGGGACCTGTGCAGCGCCAGCATCACATTTGAGCACCAGTTTGTGTCCCAGTTTCCTGCTTGTGGCTAGAGAAAGCAGTGGTGGGTGGCTCAAGTCCTCAGGCCTCTGCACCCATGTGGTATACCCAGAAGAAGCTGCTGGCTCCTGTCTACAGATAGCTCAGCTCTGGCCTTGTCGACTATGTAGGGAGTGACTCAGCAGATAGAAGACCTTTCTCTCAGTCTTTACTCGCTGTGTAATTCTTTCAAATAAAAATAAAATAAATCTTTTTTAAAAATTGAATAAGTATGGGAAATGATTTTCTCCCTAGCAATAGGAAGTACATGATATCTGCCGCGGGTAACTTTCTTACCTCCTGCTTTCACACGGCCTGCGACTCACAACCAATCATCGGGGAGGGAGATGTGACTAGGGGATTGATGACGGATAAATATGTAAGTTGTAGGTTATTTCTAAAATATCTACTTTCTTACCCTTAGTTATATAAACAAAGATAGTACCTCGTTTTTAACTGTTTTCCTTCCCTCCCCCCCAGGAATAAAGATTACTGTGAACCCAGAATCCAAGGCAGTCTTGGCAGGACAGTTGGTGAAGCTGTGTTGCAGAGCAACTGGACATCCTTTTGTACAATATCAGTGGTTCAAAATGAATAAAGAGGTAATTTTTTTAAAGATTTCCTTTATTTTTGTTGGAAAGGCAAATTTACAGAGAGAAGGAGAGACAGAGAAAAAGATCTTCTGTCTGCTGGTTCACTGCCCCCAAGTAGCTGCAACAGCCAGAGCTGAGTCAATCTGAAGCCAGGAGCTGAGAGCTGCTTCTGAGTCTCCCACGCGGGTGCAGGGTCCCAAGGCTTTGGGCCATCCTCTGCTGCTTTCCCAGGCCAGAACCGGGGAGCTGGACGGGAAGCAGGACTGCCCGGAATAGAACTGGCGCCCATGTGAGATCCCAGTGCTTGCGAGGTGAGGATGTTAGCCGCTAGGCTACCACACTCGGCCCATAAGGTGGTAATTGTTTTATTAATGATTTTTGGTGTTTCTGCTTAATAAGAATGACTCCAGATGAATAATATCAGGTCAGGATAGGAATATATACCTTCAGTGTTATCTTTTTATGAATGTGTGATTTCTAAAACCAACTTTTTATATACTGTGATCAAAAAGTCATAGAAAATTAGTCAGCATTATTGTCATAAACGTGGTCTTAGGAAATTAATCAAAGTCAGATAATATTTTATGTTATTGAAATTTTCAATATCATTTAGATGACAAAATAATTCTGAGATTGTCTTACTATAAAATGTAAGCAATAATGAGACCAATTCTTGCATCTAAAAATTGTGCAAAATGGGATTTACTTAAGCAGCAATGTTAGCAAGTAGGAAGCTTCACTGGAACCTTCTCACTTATTTATGCAAAGATCTGTATAACAGGTTATATCTTACCTAAAAGTTTAAGAAGTTCTCAAGACTACATGGAAAGCTAAGGTAATGTAATTTTAACAGTTATACCTAACCATATTAGATCAAAAGATTTAGGCCATTTTGAATTGAAATCTAGATTTGCAGCATGGGACATTTACTCATTTTGTGGAAGGATCATGTCTCTTCTACATTACCTACCAGGTGTTTTCAAAATGTTTGTTAGCACTCTGCTTTTGGGACAAGTACTGTGGCATTGCAGACCTCAGCTTAATCTGCAGTGCCAGCATTCCATATGAATTCATGTCATGACAGGTGTAAGAATTAAATAGATACAACTGAACTTGAACTGTGGTTATGCAACAAGGTGGAGGAATCCACCATGGGGGGAGGGGTACGGGAGGGGCGGGGGGAATCCCCAGTGCCTATAAAACTGTATCACATAATACAATGTTAACAACAATAAAAAAAAAAAGAATTAAATAGATAGGCTATTTATATGCCTTGGAACATAGGAGATGATTATCAAAGATATTTTACTGTTTTATCATTTCCAAGGTTTATTTATTTCTTTTAATAAATGTCTTTGAGGATGAAATAATGAGAAAAGCCTTCTATAGATGATAACTATATAATTTGTAAAATGCATCCAGTTTGGCAGTAACCATTAAAGTAGAAAATGAGGAGGCATCTTTTATTTATTTATTTATTTTCAACCACTGGTTCACTTCCCTAAAAGCCTTAATGGCCGGAGCTGAGCCAATCTGAAGCCAAGAGCGTCTTCCAATTTTCCCAAGTAGTGGAACTCAAGGTTTTGAACCATCCTCTAATGCTTTTGCAATCCATAAACAGGGAGCTACATGGGAAGTGGAGCAGCCGGCACATGAACTGGTACCCATTAGGGACGCCAGTGCTGGCAGGCTGAGGATTAGCCTTTTGAGCCACTGCATTGACCCCATAAGCAAACATCTTTGATCTGAAGAATTGTGATGGATTTTAAAACTCTAACCAGTTGAGTTTTGTTAATATTTTACCAACCCGCTCTGATGTCCCTGGTTCTATCTTAGGATAGACCAGTGTTTGCTGAGCACCTGTTGGATGCCTGTGTCCTCAGGCACTGTGAAGCTGTAAGACACAGGGTCCTAGTCCTCGAGGGCAAGCAGGGAGAAAGTAGAAATGAGCAGGCTGGCATCACTGTGGAGCTTGCCTGAGGGAAGCCAGGAGAGCGCTGATAGAAGGTGAGAAGCTGCAAATGGTTTGAAGCAAGAGCAGTAGCATGGTGGGATTTGTTGTAAACCACAGACTTGCTGGAAGAGAGACTGGGAGCAGGAAGAGGACCACTGTAATGTAGTGTGTGTATTGAAGTGTCGAGGACTGAAAAGGAATAGATTGAAGAGGGAAAATTAAGAGTGAGGCTTTAGACATCTTAAATCTGAAATGCACATCTTCACTCTGCATGAAGCTGTCCACAGCACAGGCATCGTATATAGCTAGCATCCCACATCAGAGTGCCAGTTCAAGTTCTGATTTCCACACTTCCACCCAGCTCTCTGCCAGTGTGGCTGAGAAGGCAGTGAATGAGGAGTCCCTGCCCTGCCCCAGGGAGATGGGAGACCCTGATAGAGTTCTTGGCTCCTGGCGTTGTGGCTACTGGAGAGTGAAGCAGACGATGGAAGATTTTCTCTGTGTGTGTGTGTGTCATTGTATACCTTTGAAATAAACAAAATATGTCTTTCAAATAACAGATAGAAGAAAGAGAAGTAAAATGCCCATCATACATCCAGGTAAATGGTCTAGGCAGTTTGGATCCTGGGAAGACAACATTGAGAGTTATGTAGTGATGGGCCTGCCACAACAGCTTAGTGGCTTAATCCTTACCCTGCATGCACTGGGATCCCATATGAATGATGATTTGTGTCCCATCTGCTCCACTTCCCATTCAGCTCCCTGCTTGTGGCCTGGGAAAGCAATAGAGGACTGCCCAAAGCCCTGAGACCCTGTACCCATGTGGGAAACCTAGAAGAAGCTCCTGGCTCCTGGCTTCAGATTGACTCTGCTCCTATCATTGTGGTCACTTGGGGAATGAATCAATGGACAGAAGATCTTCCCCTCTGTCTCTCCTTCTGTCTGTAAATCTGCCTTACCAATTTAAATAAATAAGTAAATGAATAAATAAATAAAAGTTATACAGTGAAACAGGCACCAATAAAGACTGAATATACCAGAGTTAGGAAGAAAGTCAAGAGGAGATGGTGTCTGGGTCTTACATGCAGGATATTCCCAGAAGACAAGGATGGCCAGGTTCTTAGGAGAAGCTTGGGAGTCAAAGGATTGGTTGGTTGGTTGGCTTAGAATATATTTGAATGTGCTATAGTGAAAGGGAAAACGATGCTAAAGTAGAGAGAACAGTTTAGGAGCAAGCACTCCAAAAGGGGTTGCAAGTCCCCCACGTGGCAATTCATCAGTGCACCAAATGCCCATATTATGATGGGTCATTCACTGACATTCTGCACATGATTCTTTTACAGATTCCATACGGAAATGCCTCAGAACTTATCTTTAACAAAGTGCAGGTAAAAGATGCAGGCTTTTATGTCTGTCGAGTTAATAATAGCTTCGCGTTTGAATTCAGCCAGTGGTCACAGCTGGATGTTTGTGATATCTCGGAAGTAACAGAAAGCTCCCAAAGTAAGTGATAAAGAAAGCTGAAGGTTGGGATGGGGACCACTTTATTTTAGCTGTTTGCTTATAAATAATGCCAGAGTAACAGAAACAGGACCAAAAGCTCACATAGTAATTCATCCTCTGGATTGTTGCCACTTGTTAAGATTTGATCCTGTGTGCTATATTTGTCTTTCTGTCTGTACTTGTGCACAGGGCACAAATCCTGTAGGATATTTTTTGTTTAAAAAAAAGGAGGTGGGGGGTTTATTTTATCTTTTTTTATTAGAAAGACAGATACACAGAGAAAAAACTCTTCCGGCTCTGCTACGTACGTGAGGGTCCCAAGGCTTTGGGCCATCTTCGACTGCTTTCCCAGGCCACAAGCAAGGAGCTGCATGGGAAACGGAGCGGTCAGGATTAGAACCAGAGCCCATATGGGATCCCGCTGCATGCAAGGCGAGGATTTAGTCACTAGGCTATGACACTAGGCCCTGGATAATACATGTTTTGCTCACTGGATATCTGCACTGATCTCTTCCAGACATTGCCTCCTTCCAGCCTCTTGTGGCTGGTGTTGTGACGTAGCGAGTTCAGCCTCTGGCTATGGCTCTGGCATCTTATATGGATTCCAGTTAAAGTCCCAGCTGTTCCACTTCTGATTCACTCCCTCCTGATTTGCCTGGGAAGCAGCAGATGATGGTCCAAGTGCTTGGACCCGTATATTCCCATGGCAAACCGGGAAGAAGCACCAAGCTCCTGGCTTCCACCTGGTCCAGCTCGGGTCATTGTGGGCATTTCCGGTGTGAATCAGTGGATGCAAGATATCTCTTTCTTCTCTCTCTCTCTTCTCTCTCTTCTCTCCTCTCCTCTCTCTCTCTCTCTCTCTCTCTCTCTCTCTCTCTCTCTGTCTCTGTGTCTCTGTCTCTTGTTCTCTTTAACTCTATCTTTCAAATAAATAAAATAAAGCTTAAAAAAATTGATGTGCTCTACCCTCAAAGAATTTAAACAATAGTGATATGTATGTTTAATGAACAGTTTCTGATATCTTTTTTGGGAAGGTATGCTAGTATGAACACATTTGTGTTTATTCAGCACTAATATCAGAATTCCTTATTTCAGAGGACAAAGGTGCAGCATGTAACACTCGCATGTCACTGAAGGGGTTAGAAGATTCCACAGCCAGACTTGAACAGTGTTCTTTCTTTTAATCATTAAGCATATTGACACTTGGAAAACTGCAGGAAATCCTAAACTGATGGAATGTGCTTAACTTTATTGAACACAATTTTCTAAACTTGTTTGCAACAGCTCACTGTCTTATCCACAGAACCTAAATTGATTATGTCATGAAGTACAATTTGGGAAATGTTGTTAAAGATTATGAAAAATGAAAGGTTAGCTTGACACATCTTTTTTTTTAACTATCAGGGAAAAAATTGGTTTTACGTTTATTCTGAAGATTTGCCTTTTCTTTCAATTTAAGGAAGTGTGGATGGCGTCTCTGAGTGCACATTGCAAATCTGTGTGGAGCCAAGATCCCAAAGGCTGTTGCCAGGCAGCACATTGGTTCTGCAGTGTATTGCTGTGGGAAGCCCCATTCCTCACTATCAGTGGTACAAAAATGAATCACCGTTAACACATGAGACAAAGAAGCTCTACATGGTAGGAAATTGATTTTTAAGGTATCTGCTTTGAAGAGGGCTTTGGAAATGTGTTTGTATAAAACAGATGGCATAGTTGACATTTATAGTGAATATTGAAACTTGAGGGGCCAGTGTTGTGGCACAATAGGTTAAGCCACTACCTGTGACTCTGGCATCCCATATGGATACCCGTTGAAGTGGCTGTTCCACTTCAGATCCACCTCCCTGTCAACATGTCTCAGAAGGCAGCAGAAGATGACCTGAGTAACTGAGCCCCTGCCACCCAAGAGGAGACTTGATGCAGGTCCTGGCTTGCAGCTTTGGCCTGGCCCAGTCCAGCCACTGTGGCAGTCTGGGGAGTAAACCAGGAGATAGAAGAGCTCTCTCTTGGTCTCCCACCCCAACCTGTAACTCAACCTTTCAAATAAATCATTGTTAAAAACAAACAAAAATCCAATAATAACTCATATATGTTGGGATGTTTTAATGCTTCTAGTGTTTTTACTTCAAGTTCACTGCCATTACATGTTAATACTTACATTTGCAAAAACACTAGAATTTACTAAGGACTTCTACGTGAAATGTCAAGTAGGTTTTTGTTTTTTAAGCCAGCTTAAATTAAAGTTGAAGAGGAAATATGTCTGTGTTCTAATACTGATACAGGTGCCTTATGTGGACTTGGAGCATCAGGGAACCTATTGGTGTCGTGTGTATAATGAACGGGACAGTCAAGATAGCAGAAGGGCGGAAGTCATCATTGGTAAGCAGTATTAGTCACTGTTCTGACAAGTGGAATGTAATAGAAGCCCTATAAACAGAATGCCTAAGCAAAGGGAATTCTACTGCTTTTTCCCATTACCATTTAATGATATGTTAAGTATCAAATTATATGTTTATATGAAAATTTGAGAGCGTACATACTAGATTCGTAATCTAGAGTCACATCAAAAGAAAAAAACTGGAGAATCTTATTTATGTCATTTTAGTTGCTTTTTAAATTGGGAGAGGATTTTTTTAAAGATTTATTTATTTATTGGAAAGTCAGATATACAGAGAGGAGGAGAGACAGAGAGGAAGATCTTCCATCATTGATTCATTCCCCAAGTGACCACAACGATAGGAGCAGAGCCAATCTGAAGCCAGGAGCCAGGAGCTTCTTCCAGGTTTCCCATATGGGTATAGGGTCCCAAGGCGTTGGGCAGTCCTCTGTTGCCTTCCCAGGCCACAAGCAGGGAGCTGGATGGGAAGCGGAGCCACCAGGATTAGAACCAGCGCCCATATGGGATCCCAGTACATTCAAGGAGAGGACTTTAACCATTAGGTCACCACACCAGACCTATAACACATTTTTAAAACCAACATCACAAGGCTGGTGCAGTGTCTCAACAAGCTAATCCTTATCTGCAAGCATCAGCATCCCATATGGGCACCAGTTAGTGTTCTGTCTGCTCCACTTCCAGTCTAGCTCCCTGCTTATATGTTGGGGAAAGCAGCAGAGGATTCTCCAGGTCCTTGGGACACTACACTGCTATGGGAGATCTGGAAAAAGCTCCTGCCTCCAGGTTTCAAATTGGCTCAGCTCCAGCCATTGCAATTGTTTGGGGAGTGAACCAACAGATGGAAGATCTTTCACTCTACCCATCTCTGGCTACTGACTTCAAATTCCTGCCCATGCAGACCCTGGGAGACTACAGTGATGGCTCATATAACTGGATTCCCACCTCCCAGGTGAGACACCTGGACTGAGTTCCTGGATCCTGGCTGCTGTTTTGGCCCAGCCCCAGCTGTTGTGGGTATTTGGGAATGAACCAGGAAGTAGGAGCTCTCTCTGTCTCTCTGCCTCTCAAATTAACGAACAGTTTTTTAAAGATTTACTTACTTTTATTTGAAAGGCATGTTTTACAGAGAGGAAAGACAGGGTTCTTGCCCTCCTCTTTTCTAGGTCTCCCATGTGGATATAGGGGCCCAAGGACTTGAACCATCCTTCTATTGCTTCCCAGGCCATAAGCAGGGAGATGGATCAGAAGTGGAACAGCCAGGACATGAACCAACACCCATATGGAATGCCAGTGCTGCAGGCAGAGGATTAATTAGCCTAATACACTGTCATACTTGCCCCAACGTTTTTTTTACTTTTATTTTATTTTTAATGTTCTCATAGTTGAGAAGGAAATGCACCCATGTGGGCCACAGATTAGGGTGGGGAGAGTTGAGGCATTGAGGAAGGAGGGTGGAACAAGTATTTCCAATTTTTTTCCTATATTTGCATTGAGGGAGAAAAAGAGGGGGCCGCTCCTTGCTGCTAAACCACATCAGCACCCAGGAGGGTAATCTGATGTCATCTTAGTCTCCTATGTAGGGAACAGTGCTCTGAGGGTGTTTTGAGTGGTTTGGATAGTTCTAAGGCTCTGTTGGTTTTGCTGCTCCAGGGTTGAGAAGATCTTTCCAGTGCCCATTGTTTGGCCAAGTCCATTCATTCACACAGACACTCGCTGCAAAGCTTGAGCAGGAGAGTTGTCCAGCCTGTTCTGTTTTCGGTCACTGACAAGGCACTTGACATACTCTGCCAGTCTAAATGAGGCACCTGTTGTGTCCCTCATGTACAGCTGGGAATGCTGTCCCCTACACAGGCATCAGCAACTGAGGAGGCCCAGTCCCAATACATACATTCCAAGGTCAGACCACATATCTTGTGATTTTCTCAGTGGCCAGAGTTTGAGTTCATATGTCCAATCAGGGAGTCCCCGAAAAAAACCTCACCTGAGGTGACCTCAGACTTTGTTTGTGCATGCCAACTAGTACAGTTCAGTTCGTCACCTGCATCAGCCCATGCACACACTGGTGAATGCAGTTGCCTGGTCAGTTCTGCCCCAACCCATCTCCCATGCAAACCGACAGATTTTGTTGCAGCCTAATCCAACCCGGCTTGCCACAAACCTGGTGCTTATGCACACCAGCAGGAACAGCAGCCTAATCAGAGCAACCTCTAGTAACCCCCACCAGACCCACCCCCAGCCCCAGTTTCTGCACATGCTGGCATGTGCAGCAATTAGTCTGGCCTGTCCCATATCCCATCTGGTGCTTGGAAATACCCACAGGTGTTGTGGCTTAGCTTAGCCCAACCCCCAGACCGCAGCACACACATATGCTAATGGATCCTGTCTCCTTGTCCAGCCTGGTGTATGCTCATGCTAGCAGTGGGAGCTGCAGCCCAAAGGTGTTGCAACCATGGCCAGCCCAGTCCCCCAGTTCCAGCTCTCAGTGGGAGCAGTGGCCTAGCAGGGGAATTCCTGAAGTTCCCCTGCGAGATTCACCCTCAGCCTTGGATCTTGTGCATGCCAGGGGGTGCTGCAGCTTGACTCATGCTGATGGATACTACAGCCTAGTCCAGCCTGGCCAACACCCAGTTCTGGCCCTCGTGTGAACTGCGGGTATTGCAGCCAACCCAGCCCAGCCTGTACCCTTTCATGGTTCTCATATCTACCATGCTGTGGACTCGTTCAGCCAATCCTCCCCTATGTGCAGCCCACATGTGTGCCTACAGCCACTTTGATCCAGCTTGGCCTGAGCTGCCCACAGACTTGGGTCTTGTGCTCACCCGTAAGAGCTGCTGTCTAACAGAAGAGTTCCCCAAGTTCTCTTACAAGCCCACTCCCAGACCAAGATCTCATGAGTGCTGGCAGGTGGTAGGCCCCTGCCCAGCATAGTCCACCCTCAGTCCCAATCTTTGCATGTGCTGGCAGGTGCTGTGGTGCAGCCCACCCCTTGACCCTGTCCTTGGGTACACTCATGGGTGCTGCAATCTGAGCCACCCTGACCTGCTGCCAACCCCCACAAGTGTTGATCAGTTCTGTGGTCATGCCTAGTTCAACCCATCACCACCCCCGGTGCTCACACAAACTAGTGGGTATTGCAGACCTGCAGGAGTGAGCCCACATGTCTTCTACAGAATCTGTTCCCAGACCTGGTTCTCTGATGTGCTGGTTGGTGTCATGCCCCAGCTTTGCATGGCCTATCTCCTGCCATGACAGTCACTGTCGGGTTCTGTGCCCTAGCCCTGGCAGGCAGGTTCCTCAGCCCTAGCTTTCTTGTGTGGTGGTCAGTGGCAGACAATGCCACTTAACCCATCCCAGGTCTCCCATGTGGGCAGGTGAATTGGTTTGATCCAGACGTGCCCTCTGGTTTCCCCCCTCTAAATCACCTTGTCCCAACTCCTTCATTTGCCTGCGAGTGTAATGGTCCAGTCTGTGGAAGCCTCCTGAAGTCATCCCACACCTGTAAAGCACTTCCTCGGTGACCCCCACTCCAACACATCCCAAACCACCCTCCCCTGGCAATCCACAGTCCCCCTGCCCCTCCGGTACCATGCCAGCATGGGCCCCAGGGTCATCTTCTAGTGCGCCTGGCTGGCCCCCTGCCACATATCTTTAAAAAAAAAATAGACAACTATGCTGGCACACTGGTTTAGTTAACAGAGATTTGGCATTAACCAAGCCCAGAATGCCCACCAGCTGCTGGCTGCTTTCTCCCAGCAGTGGAACACTTGCCTAGGAAGGTACAAGGTAACCTAGGCAGGTGTCTATAGCTGGGGTAACAATTTTTTTTTTTATTCACAAGCATACAAAGTAAAGGATGCTCATTAATCAACAGTCTATATGACTAACTGTGTAATTTGGGAATTTATTCCATTTAAGATAATTATATTTACAGTATGTTATTAATAATAGGAGATGTTGTATACATGTTGGTTTTTCAATGTATTCCTATGGCATTTATCTGCTTGATACCTGCCCTTCCTAAGATCATGAATTACAATGTATTCAAATTTGTTTTCTCTGAAACAAGGAACAACAAATGAGGCAGTGGAGTGCACTGAAGGTAGTGTAATTCTTTGGTTTGAAACCAGATCTTCTGCATGCTGGTTCCTCTTGGGATTGGTGGAGGGTTCTAGTTTACTGAGTGCAGTGATGAAAAAATACTCCAAGAAATTCTTTTTCTTAATGGATAGTATTTCTCGGTCTTTGAAGCTATATAAATTGCCCTGAGCAGTACTGAACTGACAGTCTGTCACAGTAACTAACCGAGTTGGTATTGATTCAGTTGATTTTCTGTTGCATGTTCAAACCTCCTGCATGATTTTTGAAGAGCAAACTTTTGCAGTTCACTTATATTAACTTTTATCTTTATAAGATTTATTTTAAAATGTAGGTAACTATACTGTCAGAGTTATTTGGATTATTTTATTTATCCTTTAGCCATGATAAGTGCTTCTCAAATGCTGATACAATTTCTGTAAAAGCTTGGGGACAGGAGATTTATTGTTTAACTGTGTTTATCAGTATTTCTATTTATATTTAATAATATATTGTTTTAACCTAAAGTTGATGCAGATTCCATAAACTATTAAGCTACAGATGAATCTGCCAAGTCAACTTTACATTAAAAAAATTAAAAATCTATTTTAACATACATTTCTAGTTTAACTAATCCTGACATTATGCTTAAATTGCTATGAATAAATATTAAAACATGCTCTGCACAGACCTCTTAAAAGTTCTATAAATCTGAAGGATGTCTTGAAATTGAATTAGCTTTTTATGAATCACCATTTGGTGGTGTTGAGGCAACAGACAGATACATCTCCTGGCTGTACTTCTCCCAATTGCCAGAATAGGTGAAATTAAAAAACAAGCAAAAACCAACTATTTAACTTTCTCTTATTGAACTCTGATTGATAACTGATTGATGACCACAATATTATTCTTTCCTATTCAGTCTTTGCATGGCATGGCTTCTTCATTTAATTTGAAAAGTTCTACACTGATGAAATATAACAATAACTCAAAAATGGCTTCTTTAATTTATTTTGTTCTTTGTGCTAAACTGACTGTTAATCTATATTCTTTTTATTTCATTTTAGATGAATTAAATAATCTTGGGCATCCTGGTGAGTAATCGAAACATAAAATCAAGTTTTAACTTGTTGAATTAAAGGTATTATTTTGCTGTAGTTAATGTTATTAACCTTTTTGTATATTAAAACAACACAAGTTTTCTGTTACTACTCATATGAAATAAGTTTCACACAATTGAAACATTAGATTATAAGGATAAAAATAAGAATTTGAGGCAGAGTAAAATATTAGTGTATTTTTTTATCATTGTGCATTGCACCATATCTCATAAAAAGAAAAGTCACTGGGGGAAGTATGTGATCTGTAGTGTGAATGGAAGCTGTGTTAGAATGGGAAGGGGGTGACATCTCTGAATTGGGATCATTGTCCCCATTCTTCAGTTATGCCACGTGCCTGAACTAGCTGGCCGGAACATGCGGAATACTCTAGGCCTCTTTTAAGCAGAACAAATTTCTGACAGGATGAAGGGAAAGGGAAAGCTCTGACTTAAACTGCCTGTCAGTGGTGAGGCCCACATAGAGAAGACATTGGCATAGGCTGCAGGTGTTCTAGACACAGTAACGGAGCCCGTACGAGTGTCTGGAAATAGCTCTCATAAAAGTGGCTCAAGAAGGCAGTTACGGTGTTTAGTATGTGAAGAAAGCCCTGTTACTTTTCCACGTGTCATTTCTCATTATTTCAACCCTGTGACTCATCAGCTTAATTTCACTCTTGGTAATAGACACCTATCAATGCCAGGCTGTGTAGACTGTGCTAATTGTATATAAGCAGTTTACAAAAAGCAGAAACCCACTAACACCAGTCTTGCTATTCTCAAATGTAAGACCTCATCCTTGTAATTATTTCTGTTGGTCTGATTGGAGTCCCCCTTTTCTCAGTTTGTTATATTTTGCCCTTCTTCAAAAACACTTGCCAACAAAAGTTCTTTGCTTCTAAAATTTTCCTGTCCCCTTCTTTCCCTTACTCCCTAAGATTCAGAAAAGCCAAAAACATAAGTGTAGGGATGACATGCATGAAAAACTCTTTATAGGCCTCATAGTCCTCTGTTTTACTGAAAGTACAAACCAAGCGACCTTCTGTATAGGAGATGCACAACTGATTAAACTACGTCTTTCCCCGCATCTCCTGGGTGATGCCGAGGGCTGGAAGGAACTTCATTTTACGTACAGTTGATGGGAACCACGCAGAACCTAGAGCAAGACTTCCTCTGCGTCTGTGTAATAGCATTGGCCTATTGCGTGCAACACATAGCACAGGGCCGAGGCAAAGCTGCAGGAAATGCGAGCAAACACTGCTGCTGCTCGCTGTGGCCAGCAGCGCTACTGTCTCAGGTCATCGTTGGCACCTGCCATGATGAGGATCATCTCTCTGTGGTGATTGGTTACCTAGAGTATTCTCTTTGCTGGATTCCAGTTCAGGCCAACCGTGCAATCGTATGTGTTTTTCAAAACTCTGCATATCTTCCAATTGTAAAATGTTAGTGGTGCTGCTAATGTCCTTGCCCCTTGCTTTCCACATATCTTTTACTCTAAAAATGCCCGTATCATGGATAAAAACATGTGTTTTGCCTCTTTATCTTTAGATAATAAAGATCAGACCACTGACCAAACTTTGGGTGAGTACAGCTTTAAAGTATTCTGTTTTATAAGGGTGATTAGGGGATTTAAGATATTTTAATTTGATTATTTTTATAGAGACTTGAATAACATTAGAACTAAATGCTTTATAATTGGTATTTATACAAGAAATCAGTTAGAGGAGGAAGCTTATAAGCAATTACAGGGGCAGAAACGCTGGTACAGCAAGTTAAGCCACTGCTACATGACATCCCTGTCTCTTGCTGGTGTACTGCTTCGAATTGTGGCAGCTTCGCTTCCTGGGTAGCTGTCTACTAATGGACTGGGGAGCCAGCAGAAGAAGTCTCGAAGGTTGTGACCACACAAGGCTCTGACCCCTGGGTGGCAGAACTCCATGGTGGCCCAGGCTCTTGCCTTTCCCCTCACTGGGCCCTGGGGTGCTATGGGCACTTGGAGAGTGAACCAGTGAATGGAAGATCTCTGTCTCTCTGTTTTACCTTTCAAATAGAAGAAAATAAAAAAGGAAAATTTTTAAGCTTAAAAATGGTTACAGATTCTGTTTCTGGGATCAGGTCGTCTTTTGTAGAGTGATTTCTAAGTTTCTGGCAATATGTAAATATGTGAACAAGAAGAACCTCTTTACTCCAAGCAGCTAGAAGGAAAAAAATCAGTGTCACCTAGTGGAGATGCAGGTTAGGAAGATGTCATAGAGGAATCAAGACACTTCACAACTGGCTGCTTTGTCTTCTCTAGTGGGAAGAGAAAAGGCTTTAAGATAAAATATACTGCATAGCTGGCTCTAAAGAATGCCTTGGAGAAAAAATAAATATCTAAGGTGTGGGGTTAGCTTCATGGGAACCAGGGCTCATTGGGGACCAGTGGGAAAGGCAGACATAGACTATAATGTGAATGTCCTTATATGCTCAGCTGAGAATTTGGAGGATTTAAATTCAGTACTGAAAGATTTAATTCAGGGGTCGTCATTGCAGCCTAGTGGCTTAGGCTGGCTGCTTCACTTCCAGTCCAGCCCCCGCTAATACACCTGGGAAAGCAGCAGAGCACTGCTCTGCACCCACCTGAGAGACTCAGCGGAAACTCCTGTCTAATAATTTTTGAAAGATTTTTATTTCATAAATACCTCTAGGTCCTTTTATGGGTGCTTATGAGTATTAACTCATTTTGGATAAGTAACACCATAATTGGAATTTTTAGAAAGGAAGCAGCTATTGTTTAGCCTAGCAGTTAAAACACCCGCACATCACATTTGAGCGCCTGGGTTCTGTTCTCAACTTGAACTCCAGCTTCCTAACAGTGGTGGTGATGACTCACATCACTGGCTCTGCCACCCACAGGAAGACATGGATTGTGTTTCTAGACCCCAGCTCCCACCCCACGTAGCCTTGGCCATGGAAGGCATCAGGCCAGTGAATCAGGGTGGGAGTGCACATTCTTTCCCTACCTGTGCTCCATCTCTCCCTAATAAATAAGAAACAATTAGACATCGAATTAATGATATTACACTGCATTTGTTTTTGAAGAATACAGTGCATTTAAGCTTTGGAAGATAGCTAAGATCACTTGTGAGGTGGTTTCATCATTCTTTTGCTTAGCCAACTGGCATTTTTGCTTCCTTTTCCAATAAATGGCTCATGTTCAAGAAGTTGTATGAGGTCTTACGGTAAAAGTCTGTGGAAAAATCTATTTTATCAGTTGAAAAGCTACTATAAATTGCTTTTAAAGTGGCTATTTTGACATTTTTCTGTATTCTTTACTTTTGTCTCCCCAAAGTCAGACTTTACTGCTCCTGTCCCTGCTCTGTCTCAGGTCTGACTCTGTCTTTCCCTTCCTGCAAACTGGTTTCCTGGACAAGCCTTTGTCACCTCTTGCTTTGACCACTGCATCTGTGGCCCTGTCCTAAGTCCAGTCCAGTCTACCTGTTGTCCAGGGACTCTTTAATGAGTAGATGGGGCAAGGTAAGATTTAATTACGTCTGTTTTTATTAACCATTAAACTCAAGAAAATGTGATAACACTTCTTAGGAACTAGCTATTAAAAATTATCATTAGAGGGCCTGGTATGGTAACCTATCAGCTGAAGTTCTTGCCTTGCATGTGCCAGGATCCCATATGGGCGCTGGTTCTAATCCTCGCAGCCCCACTTCCCATCTAGCTCCCTGCTTGTGGTCTGGGAAAGCAGTAAAGGCCTGCCCAAAACCTTGAGACCCTGCACTTGTGTGGAGGACCAGGAAGAGGTTCTTGGCTCCTGGCTTCAAATTGGCTCAGCTCCTGCTGTTGCAGCCACTTGGGGAGTGAATCATCGGACAGAGGATCTTCCCCTCTGTCTCTCCTTATCTCTCTCTCTATATATATCTGACTTTGCAATAATAAAAATAAATCCTCTAAAAGTTATCATTAGAGAACTTTTTAGGAGAATATTGCAGTTATTAGTATGTACATTTTAAGACACAAGGTTGGGCCCAGTGCAGTGGCCTAGCGGCTAAAGTCATCGCCTTGAAAGCGCTGGGATCCCACAAGGGTGCTGGTTCTAATCTTGAACTGCCCCACTTCCCATCCAGCTCCCTGCTTGTGGCCTGGGAAAGCAGTCAAGGACGGCCCAAAGCTTTGGGACCCTGCACCTGTGTGAGACCTGGAAGAGGCTCCTGGCTTTGGATTGGCTCAGCTCCAGCCATTGCGGCCACTTGAGGAGTGAATCATCGGACAAAAGATCTTCCTCTCTGTCTCTCATCTCTGTATATCCGCCTTTCCAATAAAAAAAAATAATAATAATGAAAATAATTCTTTAAAAAAAAAAGATTATCATTTGAGTAGGACTTGAAGTGATCTTTACTGAGTTTAAACTGTGGCTTATATCTGTTCATTTTTACCTGAAACATGTATTCCTAAAAATACCTGATTTGGGGAGCCCGAATTTTGTTATAGCGGGTTAAGCTGCTGCTTGCAATGTCAGCACCCCGCGTGGGATACCGGAGTTTTGAGCTAACTCCCTAGTAATGTGTCTGGAAAAGAAATGTGTCCTGATGAAATTCCCTGGCTCTTGGTCTTAAAGAGCCAGGCTTAGCCCTGATCTTTGTGGCCATTTAGGGAGTAAACTAGTAGATGGAAAATCTCTCTCTCATCCCTGTCTCTCTCCCTGTGTGTATAAATAAAATTTATTTAAAATAAATCTTTTTTTTAAAGGAAGCAGTTTTCTTGAACTCTCTGAAAGTGTAAACAGAATAGAGACAGCACAACATAAAATTATTGAGGCATTCCACAAAATGGATCTTTCTGCTTCTTAGACTCATTCTTTAATTTGATGTTAGTATTTTTTTTAAGATTTATTTTATTTTTATTGGAAAGTCAGATATACAGAGAGGAGGAGAGACAGAGGAAGATCCTCTGTTTGTTGATTCTCTCCCAAAAGTGACATCAGCTGCCAGAACTGCACCCATGCAAAGCCAGCAGCCTCTCCCAGGTCTCCCACACAGTGCAGAGTCCCAAGGCCTTGGGCTGCTCCACTGCTTTCCCGGGCCACAATAGGGAGCTGGATGGGAAGTGAGACTGGCAGGATTAGAACCAGTGCCCATATGGGATCTTGGTGCATGCAAAGCAAGGACCGTGCAGGGCCCTCTAATTTTTAAATAATATACTGAAGTGTTCTGTGAAAAGAGAAGAAATCTTGGTGACTTTTACACATCTTAATGATTTGAAATATCTGAAATTTTATTACATATTGTAGGCATCACATCAGCATCGCAATTCTTTAAGCATCTTTCAGTATCACTAGGCAGTGTCCACAGAAAGTTAAAAATAAACCATTTAACAGGCTGGTAACTGTGCCCAAGCCTGTGTATGGCAGGAAGTGACCTGCAGTCCCAGCTCTTGTCACACCTTCTGTGCTTTCTAGCTTTTCTGTCACTGATTTCCGCTATGACTTAATACTGCACCACATCACCCCCTGCGACTGTCCCCAAGAGAAGAGTTACCACAGGTTTCTGTTGTCATGGATGGCTTTCAGCCTTTGAGTTGACTCCAATTTTAGTATATTTTGCAAGCACTGAATCCACTCCAGAATGTCCGAGAAAGATGACAGGTGAAGACCTCTTGCTCTAAGCCAAGTTCAGCCTTCCACCTTTGTTGTTAACAGGCTATATACCCTTGGTTGATCTGGCTGATGTTTTTTTAAGCCACAGGTATAGATCTTTTTTGCTGTAAGCAAACAAAAAAGCGCCCATTTCTGTCAACACACATTATCTTTGAGTAGAATCTGAGTGCGATAAGCTCAGAAAATGAGCTCCCCAAAGCAAACTCATCTCAGTAGAGAAGGAAAATATGTTTGAAAGAAGCTGAGGGCAGACAGGACGGGTCAGACCTGGCAGGACCACCTTGTCTCCCATCAGTGCTTCCCAGCCTGATGCGGTTGCTTCCTTCCTGCCAAAGAGAAGCTAATTTCCAGCCTACCTTCTTTAAATGTGATCTACAAGACATTACTTGTTTCAGTAACATTGTACAGGTAAGGATTGATGAATGGTTTCTCTTTGCCAGGTTAAGCACTACACTCCAGTTGGATAGTGTATTCTAGAGGTGTAGTTTGGTTTTTGTAACCTTTATGCTTTGTGCATAATTCATAAATGTCCTTATTGAGATTCTAAGCATAACTAAGGATAATTTCAGTTGTTTGACTTTTTTAGCTCTTTATACTTCTCACAATGATCTGCTGTATAAAGTAACAGATTTCAGATGAAAATAAATAATGAAATCTCATTTGAAATGAAGTACTACAGTATAGAAGCGAGCTTTTATATTATAAAATACTGTTTCCATGGTCTTATTTGAGTCTTTATTTCCTCCTTTAAAACATCTTCCTTCCTCATCCCCCTTTTTTCACAGCCAAAGACAAGGTTGCTCTGTTGATAGGAAATATGAATTACAGGGAGCACCCCAAGCTGAAAGCTCCTTTGGTGGATGTGTACGAGTTGACCAACTTACTGAGACAGCTGGACTTCAAAGTCGTCTCCCTGTTGGATCTCACTGAATACGAGATGCGTAATGCAGTGGATGAGTTTTTGCTACTCTTAGACAAAGGCGTGTATGGTAAGCTAGTTGTCATCTTTGATCTGTAATCGTCTACCACTCTTTTTATTGTACAGATTGAAGTTCAGGATTGAGAATCAGGTAAAGGTAGTGTAGACACATTTTTTAAATACTTAAAAAACAACTCAGTCTTCATTGCATAGTAATTATCTTAACAGCTTTATGTTTCAGTTTTACTCTGATTAAAACTCTTACATATGTTTTGTGATTGTGGTTTCTTTTAACTGCAAGAGCTACTGTATAATAAAGTTTAATCACAAATCACAAAGGTTACGTTCATGTGTCAACTACCATTGTGTGGTTTTCTGTTTGTTTTTGACTAGGAACGGTTATAACAGAATGTACCTTGTGTTTATTTTCTTGTTCTGCTCTCACATGATAGTTTCTATTCTTTTGGTGGAAACTGAAGCTTATTAAAAAAAAAAATGTTAGTGAAGGTAGCATATGAAACACAGTTTTATTAAAATATGGCTAAATTTCAGAATTTTCAAATTTCAGAAATTGTAGCAGTAAATTTTTACTGGTTCTTCCCTTTCCTCCACTTGAAAACACCAGAAAGAGTACATGCTCAGTGATAAAGAGTAGAGACAAAGTGTGTTGCTGGGGCGTGTGGCCTGTGCCGCGGCCAGGCCAGCTGCTGAGCTTCTTTCCACCACACTTCTCAGGATTGTGCCTGTCAGGCCCTCGTGCGGGACTGTGACTGCCAGGAAGGTGACATTCCCAGGCCTGCTGTCAGGCATGCAAATGACGAACACACAATATTGGTTTGACTTTTGTATCTAATTTTTTTTTTGCTTTAATAGTACTGGTATATTTCTAATTAGGTTGACATGACGGAGCAAGCTTGGTAGAATTGCTGATGGACCTCAAAGTAGAAATTTTAACGAAACAAAACCATATGTGTTTTGAAAGATTTATTTATTTTTATTAGAAAGTCACATTTACAGAGAGAGAAGAGACAGTGGAAGATCTTCATCCACTGGTTCATTCCCCAAGCAGCCGCAACAGCCAGAGATGAGCTGATATGCATCCAGGAGTCAGGAGCTTCCTCTAGGTCTCCCACACAGGTGCAGGGTCCCAAGGCTTTGGGCCGTCATTGATTGCTTTCCCAGGCGAGAACCAGGGAGCGGGAAAGGAAGTGGAGTAGCCAGGACACAAACCAGTGCCCATATGGGATCAGTGGTTGCAAGGCAAGGACTTTAGCTGCTACGCTGTCCTGCCAGGCCCATAAAAACTGTGGGGTATTTTTTGTTTTTTGGTTTTTTTTTAATATGTAACCTTGTAATATAAAAGCTGGAAGAAAATCTGAAACTCTCATTTAAATGAAATTTCTTCTTTATGTAATGGGGATTGTGCTCACTTCAGCAGCACATATACAAATATTAAGTACTGGGGATTAGATTAACATGTTAAAAACCTTAAATTTAAATTTTTGGCTCATAATATTGATGCTGTGATAAAGTAATGTGACTTACAAGCATTATAGAGCAATAACTAAGATTAAACATGTCAATGTACAAAGCAAGCACAAAACCAGAAATAATCTCTGAATTTTCCCTGAAGGTAAACATTTCAGGTAATTGAACATGGGTAGCCAGGATGGGCAAAAACTGTTTGGTCTGCTGTATACCCTTCCAGTACCCATTTGTGTTCATCTGCTCCTGGACCTTAGGGGTGGTTTTTTTTTTGTTTTTTTAATGTGGGTTGTTGTTGTTGGTTTGTTTTTGTTTTTGTTTTTGTTTGGAAAGGCAGATTTATGAGAGGAGAGAGAAAAAGATCTTCTGTCTGCTGGTTCATTCCCAAGATGGCTGCAACAGCCAAAGCTGAACTAATCTGAAACCAGGAGCTTCTCCAGGTCTCCCACATGGGTGCAGGATCCGAAGGCTTTGGGTTATTCTCTGCTGCTTTCCCAGGCTACCAACAGGAAGCTGGATGGGAAGTGGATCAGCTGGGACATGGACCAGCACCCATGTGGGATCCCAGCACAAACAAGGCAAGGATTTAGCCACTAGGCCATCACACCGGGCCCCTCAGTCATGTTTTTGTGGAGGTTTATCAAGGGGGTATGATCAGGGCTGAGTTAGCTGGGCCTCTGCTAGGAGCACCCATGTTCCCTGTTGGCAGTGCCAGGGTTGTCCATGCGGCCTCCACTTCCTGTCCAGCTTTCTACTGGTGAAGCCTTGTATACTGGGTCTCTGCTACCCACAAAGGAGCCTTGGATGAAGTTCCTGCCTCGAGGCTTCGGCCTGGTCCAGCTCAACTTTGACAGACATTTGGGGAATAAACCAGCAAATGGAAGATCTTTCTCTCCATCTCTCACCGCTCTCCTTCCCTCCACCTCTTTTGCTATGCCTTTCAAATAAATAAATAAAGCTTTTTTTAAAAATGGGAAAGAAAAGAAAAAATAAGTAAATAAAAGAAATCTGGCTAAAATATGGCAACAGCTTCTCTCAGCTTGCAGTCATTCAGTTGACAGGCTCAGCGGCTGGCCTTGGAGGAGAGCATGCTAGCTGCATGCTACGTTCATTTCATTTTTGTAAGGCAAAGGGAGATCAATAGGAATAAACAGGGTGTTGCAGAATAAATAAATAAAATCACGTTTATTCCCCACACTAGGAGTGTCTAAAGTGTTGTAGCTACAATAGTTTTCTGCCAGGAAAGGGCAAGCTTTCCTTCATCTCCAGACCGGAGTTAGATTAGGTAGGATTTCCTGCAGGTCTTAAACTACAGAGACCCAGGTTAACTTTTTAATGTGTTATATATCTGCTTGAGGTTTTATTTTGGGAGGGGGGGATTTCAAGTTTATATATTCATTTCTTTGAATGATAAAGTTTCAGAGAGAGTGCCCGACATGATAGCCTAGTTTCTAAAGTCCTCATCTTGCATCCTCAGGGATCCCATATGGGCGCAAGTTCTAATCCTGGCTGCTCTGCTTCCCATCCAACTCCCTGCTTGTGGCCTGGGAAAGCAGTAGAGGACAGCCCAAAGCTTTGGGACCCTGGACCTACATGGGAGACCTGAAAGAAGCTCCTGACTTCAGATTGGCTCAGTTTCGACCATTGTGGCTCACTTGGGGAGTGAATCTGCAGATGGAAGATCTTTCCTCTCTGCCTCTCTTCTCTGTAAATCTGACTTTACAATAAAAATAAATAAATCTTTTTTAAAAATTCTCAGAAGGAGAAACAAAGAGACAGTTTGCATGCACTGGTTCACTTCCCAAATGGCTTTGCAACAACCAGGGCTGGCCCAAGGCAAAGCTGAGAGCAGGGAGTTTCTCCCAGGTGTCCCACATGGGTGGTAGAGCCAAGGACTTTGGCCATCTTTCACTGCTTTTTCCAGGGAGCTGAATCAGAAGTGGAGCAGGCAGGACTCGAACCAGTACCCACTACACGACTACAGCTTAATCTACTGTGCCACAACACTAGTCCCAAGGAGAGCTTTTTAAAGTTATAATTAACAAACCAAAACAAACAAAACAGACACTGCACTACCATTTTATGTTTTCTGAGCTTAACGTTATTTAGAAATCCCAGCTGAGGGTATAGAGAGCCTGTAACATCTCTCTATCAGGGTTGGTTAAATTAGCCTGCCTCTAACTTCTGAGTCATTGGAATTTGGGTGAGCTTTCAGTCCCAGTGTCTCCATTTTCACATCTGTCAAAGGGGGATACGACTGTTACCTGGCTTGTTGTGGCTCATGTGTTGTAAGTATTGTGCAAGGTAGGCTAAGTGGCCCACTGTCCTGAGTGAGACCTAGTGCCCAGTGAGTGCCGCCAAGCCTTCACTGTTGGTGATCCATGCTCTGTCCAAGCAGGGTATGTGCAGGTGGAGTGCAGTCCCTTGAGTGGGAAAATGTTCTGCTGACCTCTCTATGCACTCTTATTTTCATTTACAACAGTGATTTAGTTCCTTGCTGGGCTCATGTCTGTTCTATCAGCTGTCATTCCAGACTCAGGCCCTCCTTTCTCCCGTTTTCCTGCCTCCCAACATTCCGCTTTTCTCCAGACCCTGCCCTGTCATTGCACCGCCCACTGGTGTGACTCCCTGAGTGTGGCTCATTTTGTACATGCTTGCCCTAAAGGCACCATTTATGGCACTGAACTGAGTTGTGGCTTTCCCTGTTGCCCACATGTGGAAGCCTGAGGCTGTGGAGGCTGTGGGCTGGGAGGTCCTGGAGCTCGGCAGTCTGGGCTCCTCTTCCACATTCCTCCTTACACTCAGTGCCGGCCTGAACGCTCTCAGTGCACACGCGAGCCACGGGACAGACCCCAGGAATAAATGGGCATCTCCATTTTCTCTTTTTAGCTGAAATGTTATGTGATAAAAGCTCATTTTCCCCGTTTTAATAGAAACCCAAGAAAGGCAGAAAACCTGCATTCTGCCTGCTAGGACCCAGTGAGACAAGTTTTCTTTAATCGTGAAAGTGGCATTTCTGCTGGAGGCTGTGATTACAGTGGAGTGGCTGTTTCTGGATCCTTATCTATGAGCATTTTATTGTGAGGGAGATTGGCATGTTGGAAATTAACGAATGCATACAACAGAATAACAGTAGGGTTTCCATTTTTATGTTTGAGTATACTTTTATATTATATTACTTTATCTTATGACATATTAACATATTGGAAAGTTAGGCTTGTAATGGTGGAAGGAGCAATCATGCTATTGTAATAACTTGGGGAACAATAATAAGAGGGGGTTATGGGTGGGGGAAGCAGGATCCTCTGTGCTTCTAAATATGTATCTTGAAAAATAAGAAATGTACTTACTTTATATAAACTGAATATATATATATATAAAACTATATAAAAAATTCTTGTATCCAGAAGACAGAGGACAAAATTAATAGACTTGTAAACATTACAAGCTGAAAGAAATGCAGGGGAACTTCAAAATTTTGGAATGAAATTAAAGGTAAATTTCTTTTGGTACAAAAATAATTGAAATGTAGATGTAATCTTTTTTCATGGAAAAAAACTGCATTTTCCATGAACCTTTGAAGATCCCTCATATAAAAAATAGTTCTTTTTTTCAGAGATTATTTACTTGGGGCCAGTATTGTGGCAAAGCAGGTAAAGCCACTGGCTGTCATGTTCACATCCCATATGAGCACAGGTGGAGACAGAGCTGCTCCACTTCCCATCCAGCTCTCTGCCAGTATGCCTGGGATGGCAGAGGATGGTGAGCCAAGTTCTTGGGCCCCTGCGTGGGAGACACAAAGGCAGCAGCTCCTGGCATCTGGCTTCAGCCTAGGCCAGCCCTGCTGTTACAGACATCTGGGGAGTGAACCGGCAGATTGAAGACCTATGTGTGTATATGTGTGTGTAAATAAGTGAAATAAATATTTGAATACAGAGAGTTACATATCTATTTAAAAAGCAGAGCAATAAAGAAGGGAAGAGCCAGAGAGATCTTCCACCTGCTGCTTTACTCCCCAGATAGCCACAACATCCAGGCTGTTCCAGGTCAAAGCCAGGAGCCCAGAGTGCCAACCGGGTCTCCCACAAGGGTGGCAGGGACCCAAGCACCTTGGCCATCTTCCTCTGCCATCCCAGGCACACTAGCAAGCAGCTGGAGCATTAGTGTAGTGGAACAGCTGGGACTCAAACCAGTGAAATGCTGACATCACAGGTGGCAGCTTAACCCACTACACCACAATGCTGACTTTCAAAAATGTTTCTATCAAGTATTTTTAAAAGGCAGTTGAATATGGCTTTTGTGTTTTACAACCAAGCTAACTTCTTTTCAAGAAAGTAGAGTTCCTTGATATAGTTTTCATAATGTCATTTCTCAGCAGGAAATATATTGAGTTTTAAAACTAATCCAGATTTTATTTTAGATTAGCTAATTCAAGAGACTAGCTGGAAAATTAATGATATTTAAATCTCATCACAAAAAGGAAATAGCCTATGAAATTAATTTCCCTTCCCTGATTATGAGTGCACATTTATAATTTTACCCCTCTCCCCACCCCCACCCCCCAATGTTTGTGGTAATGCCTGCAGAGTTTCTGTGTGTCACAGGTGCAGTCTCATGGGCATGGGTTTGTTTGTTGAACTGTGAAATCCCACTCTGCCAGGGCTGCATACATCATTATGAGACCTCCCTGCCCAGAGGGAGCCCCTGGCCTGGGGGAGGCTCCCAGGACCAGGAAAGAAGTCCTGGCTAGCTAGCTACCTTATTTCATTCCTGGTGAGGTAAGCTGTCCTCCCACACTGTAACGTTGGTTACAGATCTGTTACTGTCATGACGAGAATATAGAATTCAAGTTAAACAGAATGAACAAGAAAGTTTTGAATGGCCGTTAACACTGACTGTATTTGTGGATGAGTATTTCTCAACTATGCCTGCATCAACTTGAATAAAAGCTCAGGTACATTTAGACTAACATCTCCCTCCTTTTTCAGGGTTGTTATATTATGCAGGGCATGGATATGAAAACTTTGGGAACAGCTTTATGGTCCCTGTCGATGCGCCAAATCCATACAGGTCTGAAAACTGCCTGTGTGTACAGAACATATTGAAGTTAATGCAAGAAAAGGAAACTGGACTCAATGTGTTTTTGTTGGATATGTGTAGGAAAAGGTAAAATTTATTGGGTTTTTTAAATTTATTTTTATTGGAAAGGCATATTTACAGAGAAGGAGAGACAGAGAGAAAGATCTTCCATCCACTGGTTCACTCCCCAAGTGGCCACAGTGGCTGGAGCTGAGCCAATCTGAAGCCAGAAGCCAAGATCTTCTTTGGATCTCCCACGCAGATGCAGGGTACAACGCATTAGGCCATCCTCAACTGCTTTCCTAGGCCACAAGCAAGGAGCTGGATGGGAAGCAGAGCAGCTAGGACATGAACGGGTGCCCATATGGGATCCTGGTGCTTGCAAGGCAAAGATTTAGCTTCTAGGCCATTGCACTGGGCCCCCAAATTTCTCATTTTTATGAGATAATTGTTACAATCAAATGTGAATCTTTTTAATAATTTAATTGTTTATTTGAAAGAGTTGCATGGAGGGAAAGGGAGAGAGAAAGAGATCTTGCATCCACTAATTCGCTCCCCAAATGGCTTCAGTGGCCAGGGCTGGGCCAGGCCAAAGCCACTAGCCAGGTACTCCATGCGTGTCTCCTGCACGCATGGGAGGGACCCAAATACTTAGACTATCTTTCCCTGCTTTCCCCAGGAAAAGCATGAGCAGGGAGGTGAATCAGAAAGTGGAGCATCCGGGACTTGAGCCACAACTCATACGGAATGCTGGCACGCCAGGTGGCAGTTTAACCCTTGGCATCACAATGCTGGCCCCATAATTTAAGATCTTGACAAGTTAAGCCCTAGACAAAACCTGTGAAATGACAAAAGCCATTTGAGTTTGTGGATTTTAGATTATACATTGAAACTGAGAAATGATAGGAGGAAAAATGTTGAATATTTTACCCATTTTTTTGCATAATGTTAAGTGAAAAACTAAAGGGCCCCAGGGAATCGGTGCTCCAGAATGCTTTTCGATGGCTTTCCTAACCATTGCAGCAGTTCCTTCAGGAAGCTGTGGGGCGATGCCTGTAGACTTAGGATAGGAAGTCACTGCCTGGGCCTGCTTTCACAGAGACGGAAACTGTAGCTATAGCAGTTGAAGGTCAGGGTCCCTTTTGTCTGCCTCGTGTTCCTGAGGAATAGAAGCAGTAGTTATCCTTCCAAGATTTACTATTTTTTACTAGCTCAACATTTACCAATCAAATCCAGTGCCATTGTCCAAATGCAACTCTTGTTTGTGTGTGTGTGCGTTTGTGTATGTGCGTGCGCATACACACATAAAGATTCATTTTATTTATTTGAAATGCAGAGTTAGAGGGAGAGGGAGGGAAGAGGAGAGAGAGATCTTCCAGCCTCTCCTCAAACAGCTGTGATGGCCAGGGCTGGTCCAGGGCAAAGCCAGAAGCCAAGAACTCCATCTGGGTCTCCCACATGGGTGCAGCGGCCCAAGGACTTAGGAGATACAGCTCCAGTCTTAAAGCTGGAAAGACAAATAAGATGGCTGTGTGCCATGCTGTGCACAGTACAGGGGCTGGGATGAATTTTTGTAAGTATGTACTTACAAGATGAACAAATTTTGAATCTGTAATTTTAAGCTAGTGTTTTAATTTTAAGTTAGTATTTTCATTGTCATTTTATTTATAATCCTTTAAGAATGAGGTTTGATTTTGCATTTTTATATCCATCCCTTTTTTTGTCCCCTCATTTTAAATAGAAATGACTACGATGACACTATTCCAATCTTGGATGCGCTGAAAGTCACTGCCAATATCGTATTTGGATATGCCACGTAAGAAAATTTTGTGTTTATTATGTTTAAGAATATTTTTATTACAGGTTAGAGACCTAGAAATGACCATATACGTCTAGGTATAAAATTGCCTTCTTGATACTTTTTTTTTCTTCTTAGTACTCTTGGTAGAAACTTTTAAATAATTGTCCCAGTTCGTTGCTTGTTATATTGTCAGTACGAGCCAGAGTGTTCTGCTTCACGGGGATGCGGCTGATGCAGCAGACAGATGAAGGCTGACGGTGTGGAAGCTGCACGTGGCGAGTGCTTGCCACTTACCGCATTGGCTTTTGCTGTTGGGTGTAGGTTTTCTCATAGAGCCACAAGTGCCTCAGACTTCTGAGTTTCCAGGATTTGCAGTAATGAAATACGTGTTACCGTTTGAGCATCCCTAGGCCAGAAATCAGAAATGTGGTGTTCTAAAACAAAAGATATTCCAGAATCTGAAATCTCTTCGAAGTGTCATGTTGGCACTCGAAAAGTTTTGGATTTGGATATTCCAGAATCTGAAATCTCTTTGAAGTGTCATGTTGGCACTCGAAAAGTTTTGGATTTCAGATTTTTGGTCAGGAGTTGCTCAAGCTGCATTAACAAATTATGATTATGTATATTTATGACATGCAAGGTGTGCACAGTGTGTGGTGTGGGTTGATTTAATCAAACCAACTGGTAAACCCATTGCCTTGAATACTTACCATTTAACTGCGAACTACAAAATGTAGTTTTGACCAATATCTCTGCATTCCTCCTACTCCCGTCCTTGCATCCTCGCAGCCCCAGTGACAGTCCCATTCCTCTGTGTGCTGGGGTTTTTAGGATCCCCATGTGAGAACCTATGGTGTCTGCCTTTCTATGCCCAGCTTATTCACTTCTTCATTTTGCTGTTCTTAAGGTGTCAAGGAGCAGAAGCTTTTGAAATCCAGCATTCTGGATTGGCAAATGGAATCTTCATGAAATTTTTAAAAGATAGATTATTAGAAGACAAGAAAATCACTGTGCTACTAGATGAAGTTGCAGAAGGTAAAATTAAAAATAAGATTAAGACTTTTAGAATAAAGACAAGAAGGAAGCCAAGTCCACTCAGACTTCCTTGCTTCGTGGTGATTGTGTTGCTGCGCGAAAAGGGGGTGGGGGTGAACAGATTCCCAAGGATTAGAGAATCCTGTACAGAAACGTTAAGACGCTGCTGATGAAAAGTCAAGTTCATTGTTTTCTTAATAAACTGGGTTCTTTTAAAATCGTATTTTGGAGACAGGATCCTAAAACATTGAATGCCATGTCTCTGTTTCCTTCTGTGTCTTCCCCTGCCAGCCAGTATAACGCTGTTCTTGCCAGGAGCTAATTAAGCACATTGTATCAGTGGATTGCAGTGCAGTTTTGTAAGCCTTAGCAAGAAGGTGGCTCTGCCAGCTAGCCAGCTGAGTTTTGTGGGTATTCTTAAGATGGCAACCTGGGTATGAGGTATTTTCCTAACAGCCATCAGGTAAAATTATTTATATTTTTGTCACCATGGATGTTTTAGCTAGAGCATGCAGCTGTTAATCACTTTCCCATTTAACACAGGCAGCAAGGATTATGGTCTTAACACCCATTTTCCTGCTTTACTCAGGGAAGTTCTGCATTTGTCAGTGTTACATATATTGGACTTCTTTTTTGTTCTTCAATTTTATTTGAAAGGCAGAGACAGACAGATCTCACATCTACTAGTTCATTGCCACACAAATGCCCACAGTACCAGAACTGGGCCAGGCTGAAACCAAGAACCAGGAACCTATTCTTGGCCTCCCATATAGGTGACCAGGACCTAGTTCCTTGAGCCATCACCAAAAATCCAAAATTCAACATACTACAAGTGGAAAATCCCATACTGTGCTCATATGACAGGCCACAGTCAAAGCACAGGTACACTAAAAATAATGTATGAAATTGCCTTCAGGTTATATGTCTGCATTTATACAGATGGGGGTGTTAATATGGTTATAAAAGATAAAAACTAGAAAGGGGTCTTCAGAAGTAAACAGCACTTACAAGTATGCTTCCTGCTGTATCCCTGACGCCTTGAACCATGCCTGGCACATAGTAGGCCCAGTGAATATTTGTAGAATGAAAGAGTATTCTTAGCCAAAATATTACAGAGGAATTGGTGGTCTGGGAAGATAATGTAGCAGAGCAGGTTAAGCTGCTGCTTGGGATGCCAACCTGCTAGGAGTGCCTGGCACTGGGTCCCACCTTTGCTTCTGATCTAGCTTCCTGCCAGTGTGTACCCAGGAGGCACATTGAAGTGATGGCACAAGTCCCTGGGTCCCTGCCACCCATGTAGGAGACCTCGGAGGGGCTTGCAGCTCTTGTCCTCTGTGCGGTCCAGCCCTGGCTGTTGCACACATCTGGGCTGTGAACCAGCAGATGGATGATCTCTTGTTCTTGTACCACTTTCAAAGAAATAAAATGTTTAAAAAGATAATTGCTGCTGTAGAAATAATGTGGACTTTTGTATCTCCTAGACATGGGCAAATGTCGTCTTACCAAGGGCAAGCAGGCGCTGGAGATCCGGAGCAGCTTGTCTGAGAAGAGGGCGCTGACCGACCCGATCCAGGGGGCGGCCTGCTCTGCCGAGGCTCTGGTGCGGAACCTGCAGTGGGCCAAGGCGCACGGTATGGCGGTCCGTCTCCATGGGAGAGAGCTTTCGAAAATACACTGAGCTCAAGACATCAAAGCATTTTTTCCCTGAGTAAACGATTTTCATCTCAATTTGTAAAAATCTTTTGGCCTGATAACAAATCTAAAAGTAAATAAATATCTCAGTTATGGATAACACACAGATTACTGTTGGAAATATCAAATTATTTAATACATTATTTTTACTGTTAACAAAATATAAGTGGTCATTTAAAAATTCTTCTGTTTTTAAAATAGGTTGATCTTCAGTTTACTAATAGGCAGCCCTTTAGAGTCTCCTATTGTGTAACCTGTTAAATAAGCAGTTGCTGATAATCAGATGGGTCAGGGTTGGTATCACGGCATAGCAGATTAAGACTTCACTTGTGATGCTGGCTGGCATCCCATATAGCCACCAGTTCAAGTCCCAGCTGCTCTACTTCAAACCAAGCTCCCTGCTAATGTGCCTAGAAAGAACCAGCACCCATACGGGATGCTTCCACCATGCTGGAGGCTTAGTCTGCTGTACACCACAATCCTGGCTCCTGAGTACTATTGAAGTCCTCCTTAAATAGGTTTTATAATCTAGTATCGTTTTATGTGAAGGCAGAAAGAGATGGAGAGCAGTCTTCCATTTGATGATTTACTCCCCAAATGCCTTCACAGTTAGCACTAAATCAGGCCAAAGTGAGGGGACGATAACTGCATCCGGGTCTCCCAGGTGGGTGCCCAGAACCCAGATGCTTGAGCCGCCATCTGCCGCCTCCCAGAATGCACAGTGACGGGAGACTGGATGGGAATACAGAGTCAAGACTCAGCCAGGCATTCCGCTGTGCAACTCGGGCTACTTTTGTGACAGCTCAAACGCCTGATTCTGTGCATTTTCTTCTAAGTTGTTCTTCTGTTCCTTTTCAGAACTTCCAGAAAGCATGTGTCTTAAATTCCACTGTGGTGTTCAGATCCAGTTAGGATTTGCAGCGGAGTTTTCCAATGTCATGATAATCTATACGAGTGTGGTCCACAAGCCGCCTGAGGTCATCATGTGTGATGCCTACGTCACCGATTTCCCACTTGTAAGGCTCTCCTCCTTCCTCTTACCTAAAATGTAATCACACAGTCTCATTTACTAAAGCCTAAACTTTTAAAACTTAAACTCAATGGTATGTATAACATGTAAGGATATATTTAGCTTATTTGTAGTTTAGTAACTGGCCATATTGTTTAATAATTTTTTAAAAAGCCTTGTGTTTGTCAAATTCAGAAATGTCTAAAATTCACTCAAGAAGGCTGCCTTTATTTTCTCAGTACCTTAAAAAATATCAAATGTGAAGAAATAGATGTGCTATATACATGCCAAGAATAACTTCTTTTAAAACTATCATTTCCAATGCTAGTTACAATAATTGTATAAGTCTTTAAGATTTATTTGTTTTTATTGGAAAATCAGATACATAGTGGAAAGAAAAGACAGAGACAAAGATCTTTTGTCTGCTAGTTCACTCCCTAAGTGACCACAATGGTGGGGGCTGAGCTGATCCAAAACCAAGAACTTCTTCCGGGTCTCCCATGCAGGTGCAGGTCCCAAGGCTTTGGGCCATCCTCAACTGCTTTCCCAGGCCATTAGCAGGGAGCTGGATGAGAAGTGGGGCAGCTGGGACACAAACCAGCACCCATCTGGGATCCCGGCACGTGCAAGGCGAGGATTTCAGTCACTAGGCTACCATGCCAGGCCCAATTATACAAGTCTTATCTGTCAAGATATGCTAGGAAGATAAACTGTACTCTGTTCTTGCCAAACAATTACATCTGATAATAGTTTGATATTTGATATTAGAATAGTATCCTCCTAACCTTTCCTGTGTAAATATGATGAGTTGAGAGATAAACAAGGAATAGGACAAACAGATCCAACAATCTGTCATTTTATTATTGATAGACTTTACAGAGGACATTGCTTCGGGTGTGAGCAAGTGGCTGCCACCGGTCCCGGAAGGAGATCCACCTCCTGGGGGGTTAGATCCACCTCCTAGAGGGGCCCCTGGAGGAGCAGAGCCTCTTGCCCCGGCCAGCAGGTCAGCTCTAGGGGCAGACGAGGGGAGGCCTCGCGTAGACATGCCAGTTTGTTCTCCATGTGAGTCTCCTGTACTGCCCAACCTGACTGTAATGAGGGAGAGAATCCAGGGGTCACTAAGGCCCTGTGCACTTAGAGTAAAAACTCCTTTCAGAACTAACCTTCCTTTTTAAATTAATCACTGCACAATTCAGAATTCCTGTTATAATCATTGGATGTTATTTTCATTGTTGCTTCACTCCTGGACCAAAGATTGTTACTCAGGTATCACAAGACAGTGATATCTTTTAGAATATTTATGTCGGGCCTGGTGCTGTGGCCTAGTGGCTAAAGTCCTCGCCTTGAACATACCAGGATCCCATATGGGCACCAGTTCTAATCCTGGCAGCTCCACTTCCCATCCAGCTCCCTGCTTGTGGCCTAGGAAAGCAGTTGAGAATGGCCCAAAGCCTTGGGACCCTGCACCTGCATGGGAGACCCGGAAGAGCGGCTCCTGGCTTTGGTTTGGCACAACACAGGCTGTTGTGGTCACTTGGGGAGTGAATCAACAGACAGAAGATCTTCCTCTCTGTCACTCCTCCTCTATATGTATCTGACTTTCCAATAAAAATAAATAAATCTTTAAAAATATATATTTTATGTCAAGGCTAGCATTGTGGCCTATCAGGTAAAGCTGCCACCCATGACTCCGGCATCCCATGTGGTCACCAGTTCACTTCCCGGCTGCTCCACTTTTGATCCATCTCCCTGCTGGCAGCCTGGGAAATGCAGCAGAGGATGCCTCAGGTGCTTGGGCCCCTCCGTACTCACCTGGGAGACTGGTATGAAATGCCTGGCTGCTGGCCCGGTCCAGTCCTGCCCATTGCAGCCAGGTAAGCAGTGGGTGAACCCATGAAGAGAACATTTCTCTGTCTCTTTGTCTCATCCTCTCTGTAACTCTGACTTTCAAAATACATATTTTTTTCTAAGAAAATATGTTTTATGTCATCGATCACGTTATGACCTTCACTGATTTCATTAATAACATTCACTGTTATTTTTTCTTTCACAGGATCTAGATATTGACCCAAAAGATGCAAATAAAGCAACTCCTGAAGAAACGGGCAGCTACCTGGTGTCTAAGGACCTTCCCCAACACTGCCTCTACACCAGGCTCGGCTCCCTGCAGAAGCTGAAGGTCGGTGCTTCCGCTGCTCGTGCCTGCTGAGCGTTCATTGTGGCAGTCCAGTGACGTGCCCTCCCTCCCATGTTATACTGAAGTAGAGATGACCAGTCTGCAGTGTATTTGATCAGTAACCCTTGGTGTGCTCACCCCTGACAGTGAGAGCGTGTGTGCTGGCCTTCGTCTTGTGGAAAAGTCAGGATCCTGAGTACATTCGGCCTGTAAACAGCTTCACATCTTTAACTCAGTTGTGCCATGGGAGGGCATTTCACATGTCAGCCAGCAGTGACCGTGTCGCCCGGTGGCATTGTAGATGTGCTCTGTGATGCTGGCCCAGTGACGGGATCACCTGGCAGTGTGTTTCTCAGAGCTCGTCCTTAAGTGATGTGACTGACCATTTCCCAGTTCTTTGACTTTCTACAAACAGCAAATTAGAATCATTTCTTTTCAGTGCTTTTCAGTTCAAGCTGATGAACAAATGAGAAGCAGGCTGTACATGGTTAAACTTTCTAATATAAGTATATCTTTGCAAACTGTTTTAAAGTTATTTGTTATGCCATGATCCTAGAACATACCAGCCCAAACCCAGGAAACAGAATGCGCAGTGTTGTACTAAACATAACAGGTGTGAAGAGTCTTGGTGTGCCTGTTTGTGCCCAGTCTGCTCTTCTCTGAAAGAGTGAATCCACTTCCTGCTCCCATCCCATTTGCTACCCATGGCATAGATTATCATCATCACATCATAAAATTTTAGGAGCCCGCTTCAGCCTTTGAGCCAGGTATTTTAAGACCAGACTGCTGTCTTATCACGTGATAACTCCTCATCTAATAGTAGGAGAGGAAAAGGTCACTCATTCCCTCTGCTCAGAAAATGCCTTATTGGGGCTGGTGTTGTGGGTTTTTCAGGTTAAGCCTCTGCCTGCGGCTCTGGCATCCCATATGGGCACCAGTTGGAGCCTTGTTGTTTCACTTCTTATCCGGCTCTCTGCTGATGTGCCTGAAAAAGCAGCAGAGAAGGGTCGAAATGCTTGACTTCTGGGCTCCTGGCTTCAGCCTGGCACAGCCCCAGCCACTGGAGCTGTTTGAAAAGTGAATAAGCAGCAGGAAGTTTGTTTCTCCTCCTCCTCTTTCTACTCTCTCTCTAACTCTGCCTTTCAAATAAAATAATTACAGTGTTAATTTTTGAAACCCAACAGCACTATAAAAAGACGGTGCCTTGTCAGTGTTCATCAGAACTGTCAAGTGACATCCCTGATGTTGACTACTAACCGAGCTAGAACTCTCCCACACTGTCAAGTATTGCACGAAAGGAAGGAAACTCAATTGCAGCTGGTCTTAGCCTCCAGAGAGTTAAATAATGTTTGATTTGGAGCCTGGAAAAGAGGCGGGAGTGGGTTTTGTTTGTGATGATGTTTGAAGCCTGCTACATCTTGACTGTGAACCTACAAACCTTTGTGTCTCAGGAGCAGCTCGTCTTCACGGTGTGTTTGTCGTACCAGTACTCGGGGCTGGAAGACACGGTGGAGGAGAAGCAGGAGGTGAATGTCGGGAAGCCCCTCATTGCCAAGCTGGACATGCACCGAGCGCTGGGCAGGAAGGCGTGCTTTCAGACCTGTCTGGCACCCAGCAGCCCCTATGTGAGCTCGGCAGCCAGCTCGGGGGCAGCGGGCCGTTACCACTCCTCTCAGGACTCGTTCCCTGGTGTCTACCACTCACACCTGGCTGACTCGGACCCCATGCTGCCGGCCGACGGGTGCCACTGCCGCCATACACAGGATGCCTTCATTGCCAGTTACCATACCCACCACTATTCCTGCCAGTTCAATAGAAGCAACGTGCCCGTGGAGACGACCGATGAGATACCATTCAGTTTCTCTGACAGGCTCAGGATTTCTGAAAAGTGACCCGTGTTGGAGAGCTAACCCAGTACTAGATACACCCGTGAAATCATGTGTATGTAACGAAGGCACTGTGAAGAGACTGATGTGTGTAGCTAAGAAACATTAGTAACAATTGTTTCACACTGGACCTGGGACTTTGAGATGTTGGAATGACACAGTTACCCAGAGTCCTTCTTGTTCTCTTGTTTGTGATCAGTGAATTATGAATCTGAGTGAAAGGGTCAGTGCTGTTCAGTGTTTGAAGAAGAGTTTGTGCTGATGGTGCTAGAAGGAGTTAGTTACCTGCTGCCAGGTCCTCATCTCTCCACCTGCCTGATTACAGATGTGTCACCAAACCTAAATGCAAGAACTGACATTCCGCCAAGAGAAAAGAAATGAGCAGTGTCTCCAGTAATCCCAAAAGCACAAGTAAGCAAAGGTAAAAACAAGATAAGGACTTCATCAAAATGAACCGTTTTGCCTTAAGAGACAGAGTTAAGGATCTGGGGCAGCGATGTAATGGCTAAGCCTCTTTGGCACCAGAATCCTCTATGGGTACTGGTTCCAGGAATGGCTGCTTCACTTCCAGTCCAGCTCCCTGCTTATGGCCTGGGAAGGCAGTGGATGCTGGGCCAAAGCCTTGGGCCTCTGCACCCACATGGGAGACCTAGAAGAAGCTCCTGGCTCTGGACCAGCCCAACTCCAAGCATTTTGGAAGTTCACCAGCAGATGGAAGGTCTCTCTGTCTCTCCTTTTTTCTCTGTGACTCTACTTTTCAAATTTAAAAAAAAAGAAGAAGAAGAAATGAAAAGACCAGCTTTACGAACAGGGCTTTAAAAAAATTTCATATCTGGTGAGAGCCTTACATCAAGAACATATCAAAAGCACATGAAAATAAAAAGACATATTAAGCACTGGCTGGTTTGTGGCCAGTGAGCCTCCTGTGGTGATGAGACAGTTGTGTCTGGACCTGCAGCCTGTCAGCTCCTGTGCGATTGTGGAGCAGTGCAATCCAGTCGGTGTGAGGAACAGGACTGGTTTTCATCTTTATTTACACAGATACATGGAGCAGGTGTCTCCCTGTTGTCTCGTGCTGCTGTTGGAAACTCAAGTTAGAGTCAAGGAGCTTTCTGACCTTCCAGTTTATACCCTCCTGTATATTTGAATTTTTAAAACTAAGCATGTATTTAATTTATTTTTAAACTGATTTTTAAAACAAAAGAGTTATATTGTTTTCACCTTTTTTTTTCTATACTCAGCCATGCTTTTATATTGGAATTTTGCGTGCCAGTTGCTTATACTGTTGGGATAAGGTTTACCCACAAGTAGAACGGGGAAAAGTCACCTGGGAGGTACGGGTGGGGGCGCAGGCATGTTGCATAGCTGGTTGAACCGCTCCTTGGAAGAGTCAACACCGTGGCCCCTATCAGAGTGTTGGTTCAATTCCAGTCTCCTCCTCTTCCGATACAGCCTCCTGCTGGTGCCTCATGGGAGACAATGAATAAGAATTCAAGTATTTGGGTTCCTGCTCCCCTGAAGGGAGACCTGAGCGGAGTCCCTGGCTCCCAACTAGCCTGGCTCGGCTCTGCCTTCGCAGACATTTGCAGCGTGAACAAATGGACTTCTCCCTCCCTCTTTTTCCCCTCTGTGGCTGCACTTCAGTAATTAATATTTACATTAATAGATGAAACACTGACTTATTGTCCATGTGGTAATAAAGAGGTCAAGTTGAAAGAGAAGCTAAAATTTTTTAAGACTAGGGCCCGGCGCAGTGGCGCAAGTGGTTAAAGGTCCTCGCCTTGCACGCCCGGGATCCCATATGGGCGCCGGTTCTAATCCCGGCAGCCCCGCTTCCCTTCCAGCTCCCTGCCTGTGGCCTGGGAAAGCAGTTGAGGACCGCCCAAAGCCTTGGGAACCTGCACCCGCGTGGGAGACCCGGAAGAGGCTCCTGGCTTCGGACCGGCATAGTATCGGCCCGTTGCGCTCACTTGGGGAGTGAATCATCGGACGGAAGATCTTCCTCTCTGTCTCTCCTCCTCTCTGTATATCCGCCTTTCCAATGAAAAAATAATAAAAATAAATCTTTAAAAAAAAAATTTTTTTTAAGACTAATACTTGACACTGTGCCACTTGGGAGCCCCGTCTGCCCCGGGAGCATCAGCCCCGGCTCCTCCACTTCCTGCTCAGCTCCCTGCTGCAGACACTCCTGGCTCAGGTACTTGAATCCCCACCACCCATGTGCGACACCAAAACAGAATTCCCGGCTTTGGCCTGAGCCAGCCCTGGCTGATGCTGCACTTTCTGGAGTGAGCTAGAAGATGGAAGAGCTATCAGACTGCCTTTCAGAATGAATAAATCTTTCAAACTGCCACACTGAGGATTGCCTTCTTCCTCTTTGTCTAATGTTAGTCATCACTATTATTGTTATTTTGGATATAATAAGGAGTCTTTATTAACCAAGAAGCTTGGTAAAAGTAGGACCTACTAGAAATTAGCCAATGACAAATTTATGTGGCAGGCCAGTCTGAATCAAAACCCTGGGGGGGACCCAGTGCGACAGCCTAGTGGCTAAATCCGTGCCTTGATTGCACCAGGATCCCATAAGGCTGCCAGTTTGTGTCCCAGCTGCTCCACTTCCCATCCAGCTCTCTGCTTGTGGCCTGGGAAAGCAGTTGAGCACGGCCCAATGCCTTGGGACCCTGTACCCACGCAGGAGACCGGAGGAAGCTCCTGGCTCCGGGCTTTGGATCAGCTTAGCTGTGGCCACTTGGGGAGTGAACTAGAGCATAGAGGATGTTTCTGTGAATTTGCCTTTTCAATAACAATAAATCTTAAAAACAGAAAGAAAACCTGGGAACAAATGGTGATTACCATGTAGTCATCCTACTTCTTAAATTCTTCACTTGCTCATGAAGCAAGAATCAAGTGGCTTCTTGAAAAATCCGTTTTTCTACTTTTTCCAGAAATTCAGTTATGGGGTCAGCATTGTGGCATTGCGAGTGAAGCTGCTAGGTGATGCCAGCATCCCGCGAGGGCACCTGTGGTAACCTGGGCTGCTCCACCTTGAATCCAGCCCCCTGCCAGTGCTCCGGGGAAAGCAGCAGAAGACGGCGCACATGCATGGGCCCCTGCTCGCACGTGGGAGACCAGAAGCTCCGGCTGCTGGCTTCTGCCTGGTCCGGCCTTGGCTGTTGCAACCATTTGGGGAGTGAGTGGTGGAGGAGAGCGGTAGCTCTCCTGCTCTCGCCCAACCCACCCTGCCCACTCTCTGTATCTCTGCCTTTCAGATGGATGATTGTTTAAAAATGAAAATTTTGGGCCCGGCGCAGTGGCCAAGTGGCTAAAGTCCTCACCTTGAACACGCCCATGGGTGCCGGTTCCAATCCCGGCAGCTCCACTTTTTCAGATCGTTTGCCCAAGTTGCTCAGTGCTACAAAGGATGACTCAAACCCTGTGCGGTCAGACAGGACAAAGAGGTGAGCACTCCCTAGACCCCCCAAGCGGGGCCTGCCCCATTCCCCTCTTGCCACAGCATCCAGACCTTGTATTTTCTCCCCGAAGTCTAGTTGTTCCCTTGGGTGCTGGCCACAAAGGAAAAGAATGTGGGCGAAGAGGGAGCGAGGAAGACCCAGCCCTACCCTCTGAGCCCTCAAAGCGGTGGACGAGAACAAGCCGAGTTTGACTCTAGAGAGGAATGGCCGCAGCCCTGCTCCCTGCGAAGGGGAAGGCTGGAGTTGTGCTGCTGCCCTCGGTTTCTCTGCGTGGCCAGAGAAGACAAACCCACTGAGGCAGAAACACGAGTGGGTGCAGAGGCTGTGGAGGCAGCGGGGTGACTGCTAATGGGCATGGAGATTTTTTACGGTGAAGGTGGCCGCTGTCGCCTGAGCTATAAATGTAATAAATATGCTGTATATTTTATGTGAAAGGCAGACGCGCTCCTCTCTGCCGGTTTGCTCCCCCACGTGGCCACAGCAGCCTGAACTGGACCGTGTGCCAAAGCAGTGGGTGACGGGGCCCCAAGGTCTTGAGCCAGCACCTCAGGTGGCTAGAATGGGGAGTGGAGGCAGGGATTGAACCCGAGCCCTCAGAAATGGGCCACGCAGGACCTTGGCATGCTTAATGAAACACGTAGGTAAACTTGGGGCGTGTGCATTATGTTTTCATCCAGAAAAAAAGGCACAGCTCAGCATTGCCGAGCCAGTTCAGTTTCTGGTTGCCTTTGTTTGGAAAAAGCAAACCTTTCTGTTTCCAGGATCAGTGGTGTGAGGGTGCACGTCGTTGGAGAGGCAGGGGAGGTGGTCCCGAGGCGACGCTGTGCCCCGCAGCCAGGGAGCAAGAGTGAAAGCCAAAGCCCAGGGCCCCGCTGGGCCAGGCTGGGCTGCAGCACCTGGAGAAGGCCCAGGTGTGTAGGACTGACCAGGGAGGGGAAAAATCCTGCTCAAATGAGCTTAACCTGAAATGCACTTTTTAGTATTTTTTTTTTATTTTATTTTTATTATTTTTTTTCATTGGAAAGGCGGATATACAGAGAGGAGAGACAGAGAGGAAGATCTTCCGTCCGATGATTCACTCCCCAAGTGAGCGCAACGGGCCGATACTATGCCGATCCGAAGCCAGGAGCCTCTTCCGGGTCTCCCACGCGGGTGCAGGTTCCCAAAGCTTTGGGCAGTCCTCGACTGCTTTCCCGGGCCACAAGCAGGGAGCTGGAAGGGAAGCGGGGCTGCCAGGATTAGAACCGGCGCCCATATGGGATCCCGGGGGTGCAAGGCGAGGACCTTTAACCACTTGCGCCACCGCGCCGGGCCCTGAAATGCACTTTTTAAAAAAGATTTGTTTATCCCCCTTTACCTCAGATACATGAAGGAAACAATATGAAAATAATAGTCTTACCCACTTTCCTGTAAAAAAAATTGTTAATTTTTTTTTAATTTGGAAAGGCAGATACACAGAAGTTACAGAGAGAAAGATCCTCTATCTGCTGGTTCACTCCCCAGGTAGCCGCAACAGCCAGAGCTAAGCTGGTCTGAAGCCAGGAGCCAGGAGCTTCTGAGTCTCACACGCGGGTGCAGGGGCCCAAGGCTGTCCTCTACTGCCTTCCCAGGCCACAAGCAGGAAGCTAGATGGGAAGTGGTGCTGTAGGTTGGGACATGAACCAACGACCATATGGGACCCGGTGCATGCAAGACCAGGACTTTAACCACTAGGCTATAGCACTGGGCCCTAAAGGGCACTTTTATTAGGATTCAAGAGTATGTCTCAGGTTCAGGACCAAGAGGACAGCCAAATTCTGGGAATACCAGGCCACTCAAAGCAGGGTTGGGTGGGTTTCTAGAACATAGCCCATCTCAGGCCTCTTGGATTCCTCTTTGTTCTAGAACAACATCAAGTGGGTACCTGAGCCTCAATTGCACACTTCCGGTGGGCTCTGCCCAGCCCAAGGTGGTCCTGAAGCTACAGTGCCTCCAGGTAAGCTGGTGGCTGGTGAGAACCCACGCATTCCTCCAGGAGGCGGCAGTTGGCA